TTGCAAATTCAACTTATTTTTCTTTTTTAAAAAGAAAGAGAAATCAATACATTTGCATAGACTTCGAATGTTTAATTGGTGCCAAAAAAAGTTGACAATTATACAACTTTTTTTTACTATTTTATTTCAATAATTAACTCTTATATTTTACATACTACATTTAACTTTTACCTGCTATATTTCTCAAAGAGAGTGCACATTTCAAATAAATGACATTCATTAATTTTTTTTTTTTAATTTTAAATGAATGAATAATATAATTCCCACATAAATTTGATGCGCAAATTGTTTAGTTTGGTGTAATATATTTTTTAAAAATCTTTCCTTTCATGTAATACACATAAAATTAAAATTCTCTTTTCATTCTATGCCAATTATGTTTCAATAAAATTTCAGAATTTCCTTTTCATCATTTTTTCATCTTTTCTTTGCTTTCCATTTATTCAAACATCGTTCAGCGATATAAGCAAATTTTATTCTTTTCTAATGCATCAATTTTATTTTTTCAGGAAATTATTTTACAATTATTATTCACTTTTGGTATTATTATAATAATATAATAATTATTATTACTGTTATTATTGTTTGCTTATTATTGTAAATAGGATATGAGTTTTTCGAAGTAAAATGGAATATATAAATCAATTTGAAAAGACTGAATGAGATTAAGATGAGAGAAGAATTATTCTTTTTAAAAATGGCAGAAGAGTACCAGTTTTTAATTAGTGCAATCTTTTTAATTAATTGATTCATCCATTCATTTCTACGAGTTAAATTTTTGCCATTAACTTGTCTACGATTCCTAATTAAATGATTCTTTGATTAATTAATTTCTTTTCTTGATAAATTTTCAACACATCATACATTACTTGATTTAAAAAAAAAAAAATTAGCTACGACTATTGATTATGGCTGATTACTATTATAGTTATCAATATTAAATTAAATGATATTAAAAAGCGACCTATTTGATAATTAGGTTAGACATTTCAAATTATTATAATGTTTCATATTACTTCAAAAATCGTTTTTTTTTTGTCTGAAATTCTTTTTCGGTTCATCATTTTTTTTTCCACTTAAAATGAAAAATTGTTTAGTCAATTGATTTACCACAATTTGACCTATTGATTTTATAACTATTTAATTGCCATTATTTGACCTTTATCGCTGTTGCTACGACCATTTGATCTATTGATTTATCAATTGACGCATTAACTTTATTATTACTGTTATTTGAACTATCGATTTATTATTATTTTAACTTATCAGATTGTCACTTCTTGATCATTTGTTATCATTTGATCATATTAATTTATTATTTTATTAATTCCCATTGAATTTTCTTCACAATTAATTTGATTAACATTAGATAACATATGCTAATTACATATTGTTCGTCATATTTAACTCATTCTTAATTATCACGTCCATACATTTCAATGAAATATTTGCTATATAATTTTTCGTCAAAATATTAATTAATTGATTTTGAAATAAATTTTGAAACACAATTAATCATGCAATTGGCATAATTGCTAATTTAAATTGTTTTTTTTGCTCCCATTAATATTTAACTCTTACTTTTATTCATTCAATTACTTTTATGGTTCTTTCTCCTTTTATTTTACGTTTACGTTTTTTTTTTTTATTTCTTTTCTTTCTTCCTCTTTTCATTTTCATTAAATACTAAGTGATAGAAAATAATTTAATACACCAATCAATCATATTTCATGTTAATATATTCTTCACAAAAAAAAGAAATTCAGTGAAAAATAAATTTATTTATTGATATAAAGTTGAATTCATTTCATACTTAATAGCAAAAGGAAAGGATAAATAATTTCATATCTGTTACGTAAATATTAAATATAAATTTTAATTCCACTAAAATGATTTATCATTTTTAAATTTTTCTAAAATAATTTCAGTATGAATATGAGAGGATAAAAAAAATATTTTGTCAAACATTTAACGTATATGCATGTTGATTATTAATGAGTAAATATTAAATTAAGTTTTAATCTTACTGCAAATATTCATGTAATTTAATTATAGTTATGTGTGTATAATTTAATAAAGTATACTTAAGTAAATTGTATAGCAATTAGTGTCTTCTTCATGTACTTATATATTATATCATACTCATTTGTTAACTTAATATTTTCAGTTTTTTCTCTTTTTCTTCAAATTTTATAAAATTTACATTAAAAAGTTAATTTAAGGAAAATTGGAAAATTTTTTGGAAAAAAAGAGAAATGACGATGATAAATATAAGAATATTTGGTGCTTTTATTTATTTATTTTTTTTTTTTAATCCACATTTACTGAAAAAATTAGCCTAAAAAAAAGAAAACGAAAAAGAAAAGGTGAAAATGGTATTTCTTTTGTTCTCTCATAAAATTACATTTAATGAATTTGCGTCAAAATCTTTTCCTTTTTTCTTTTTCTTTTTGAAGTTTCAGTCGAATTATTTGCTTTTTTATGCTATATAATGTGAAAAAGACGAGAAAAAAAAATGAATTTTTCATTTATATGTATATTTATACCTTAGAAAAAGTTACTTTATTATTTTAAAGAATAAAATTTTCATTTTCTTATATATTTACACTTCAAAAAATTCACGTCAATTTTTTATATTTTTATATCAAAAGAAATTTTTTTTTTATCTTTTTTTTTCCTTAAATAAAAGTATAGAAATCTTGTTTACAATATAAAATGAAAAGCAAATAAGCAAATAATAAAGTTCAAATTACTAATCATTTTTATTTTTAAGTTTGAATTGATTTTTTTCATATGTTATTTCACCTGTTTTCAAAAAAAAAAAGAAGGAAAAAAATGCTGATAAATATGAAAGAAAAGATGAAGAGAGAGGGAGAGAGAGGGAGAGAAAGAGAAAGGAAAATATTTTAATTTCCTCTCTATAAGATATATATTTCATGTTTCATCAATTTTAAAATTATCACAGCCATTTATATGTCTTCAGTATTACTTTCATAATGGCACAATTATTTTTTTAGTATTATTTAAAATAACTTTTTAAGTTTTTATGATAGCCTTCCTTTTTTCTCACTTTTTTTAAATATATTATTAGTTGTTAATGAAAAAATATCTTTATTATATTTTTTGAAAATTTTCCTTTTTTATTGCTTAAAATTAGTTAAAATTTAACTTTGACTAATAAATTCGAATAAATTTTATAAGCAGTAATAATTAACAAATTTATTTATGTTTTTTTTTTCATATCTTACTTTTTTATTTTTCAACACCTCGTTTTTTACTGCTGTCTTTGTCGTTTATATTATTGTTGTTGTTGTTGTTGCTTTTTGTTGCTGCTTTTTTTTTTTTTTGTTTTGTTGTTGTTTTTTACACTTCAACAAGCAATGAACGGTAATAACTTACAGGTTATTTATAAATATTGGATGAACAAAAGCTTCTTATATTTTCGATGTTTCATTTAAAAGTAAGGATTTGATGATTTTAAATTCGTTTAATATCCTGAATATAACAAATTTTTGTTTGTTTCTTTTTGAATTTCTTAAGTTTGATTTTTTTTTCTAACTAATCCCAATATTTATTAAATTTCTTTTCATTCGCTAATTATATCACTAATATAAATGTGTATTATTTTTCTTACATTCTATTGCAAATCAATTTAGTTATTAATTTAGTATTAATTTTGGTCATTAAATTCTTTTCGACTGATAGACTGAGTGAAATCATTGAAATATAAATAAAATAAGCAATCAGTTAATCAGTACTCGTTTAATTGTTCATTGCAATTAAATCTTCCTTTTGGTTAATTAATTATTAGAATGAATGAATGATTTATAATGGAATGAATATGATCGAATGACAGAATGATTAATTCAACAATGAAAATGAATTGTAATATATGTTTAACAAAATAGTTTTTCTAAAATTTTTGAATATCTTAATTTTTGTTTTTTTTTTCAGTTTTATTTCTTAAATTAAAGAAAATATACTTTTTAGCTTCTTTTCAATTAAACGTAAGAGTTTGTACCATATGTGTTAAAAAAATATTTTAAAAGTTTTTTCAAAAAAGAAAAACAAATATTTATAATTTCTTCACAGATGTTTAAAGATAAAAATTTCTTTTTTTCTTTTTCCTCATATTTTTTTCTCAAAAACTTAATCTTTAAGAAAAATCGCTGGACAATCTCGATTCTTGATGATTTATCACTCTTATTTCTTTTTTTTAGCGAAAAATGTTTGAGAGTTTTGACGAAAGAAAAGGATAAGTTTTATTTTTTTTATTTTCTTTTTTTTCCAGCTTTTTTAAAAATGAATCAGTTTATCGACTCTTTGTTTTCACTCTTTTTTTTAAAACTTTTTAAATAAATTTAAGTATGATTTTTACATAATTTTTCCTCTTGAAAAATTTATACTGTAAAGGATATAATATAATATTATATCGAAAACTTGATTATTGGATTACTGTGATTGTTTATTTGTTTGCTTGTTTGCAGTTTTTTTTCTCCTTCGCAATCATTTATTGACTTTAAATAGTTGCAGGAATATTTCGTTTTCAAAAAAATACAAATGACTAATATACTTTTCGTTTCTTTTTTTTCTAGGAAAGAAAAATTGATGATAACCTTTAACCTCAACACATCAGTTTATTTTAATTTTATGTTATACTTATAATTTCTGTTTTAAACATACAAATAAAAAAGAGAGATTATATTTTTGAAGTTATTATTAGTATTTTGTATAAAAAACAATTTATTTTCTCAAATTTTGTTATTTCAACTGTCAAAAAAAGCGATTTTTTTTTTTTTTTTTGAACATATTTCGAATATTTCACAATCATATTTAATTATTATTAGTTTTTTTTTTCTTTTCAGATGAAATTGCTAAACTTTTAATAAAATATGTATAATAAGTTTTCTTCCTTTTTTGAAAAGAAGGAATTTTAAATAGTTTAAGATTTTTTTTTTTTTTTTTAAAATATTTATTTTTAGGAGCATTCACCAAATTCGATGCGACTAAATAACAACAGCTCTAGTTCAGCATCGGTAGCATCACGTCTGTACACGAACGGTACACGTGGGTCACAACGTGGTAGCTTTGGTAGTGAACCAGAATTGATGAGTTTTAGCGATAATGAAACATCCATTCATGAATTAAATGAAATTTGTAGTCAGGTTTGCTTCTTTTTTCCGATTCCTTTTTTTGGTTTCATTCAAATAATTTAACAAATATTTGCTTAAAAAATTTTGGTGATAATTTCATAATGAATGATTCAAAAAAATTGTTACAATAAAATCTCACATACATAATTATGATAAAATAGTGTTTAATGGAAAGTTATTCAGTTAATAATTCAAGTTCCATAAAATAATTTAACAAATATAATTTGTAACTTAATAATTTTACAACAATTTAGTAATTTGGTGTTTTAAGAAATTGAATGAGCAATTAATGCTTTTTATGCATAATCAAAAGAGTACTAAATATATTAGCATAAAAGAAATAGTGGAATGACTCCTCTATCATTGATAACTGATAATCTAACTTGTATCTAATGAATGATGTATAAATATATGATAATCTTTTAAATTTATTCAATATTATACTTTTAACTTACTTTAATGTAATATGCGGAAGATCCTCCGTGGAAATATGCATATGCATATACTTTACATATTAAAGTGCAAAGTGCAATTCATCTTTTAAATTTTTAGAAAAAAAAATTAGACTATTTCAATGGGCATTTTATTACTCATTTCATCACTGAATATGTCATTATCGTTATTTATTGTCATTATGCAAGTATGATTATCTAAACAAACTTTATTTCAACGTTTTTTTTCATATCAATCAATATAAATATCTATTTTTTTTTAAATCATAATTAGTTATTATTACAGAATTTATTCGTATTACAATCACTATCACTCCAATGCATATTCATATCATAATTACTATTGTTATTTTTGTTATAATTATCACTTTAATGCTATTCATATCATTCCAGTGTTTATCCTTATCGTTAAGTTTACCATAAATTATTCCAAAGTTCTTAAAAATTTACCATAAAAACTTTAAAATATATCATAAATACCACAAAATTATCCAAAGTTCATAATAACTATCATTCCAAAATTTGCTGTTATCATAGTCATTGTCATTTCGAATTTTCATTATATCATTTTAAATGCATCAACAATAAATTAAAATTTTTTATTATTTTATAAAATAATTGATGAAATAAATTTGTTGATGAGTCACTGTTGTCTTTTCATCTTTGCATTATTTCTATTTTCTTAAATTTTGATTGCAAAGCGAAATGATTTTCCTAAACATATACGTAAAATTATTACGCTTATTTAAATATTTTTTTCAAAAAAAAAAAAAAATTTTCTGAAAGATTTAATATAAATTTTCATAACATATTTTGAAATGAAATTTTCGTTTTTTTTTCTTTGCCTTTATGAAAGTAACATAATAAATTAACGGAACCATTGCGTTTTCTCTGTTTATTATAAAATTACAATTAAATTTTCATTAAAAATAACAGTAACTGATTATGATATGATCATGTTTTGGACTGATAATGATTGTGATAAAGACAAGCTTTGAAATAATACTGATTGCAATGATAGTCACTAATGATTACCGTAAAATAAATATGAAATGTATACGTACACATACATAAAAATATTTATATAAATGAATGCAATTTAATTATTTTATCAATTTCCATTTCATTATCCCACTTTCATTCTTTAAATTATTGTACAAATTAAAATTATTTCAAAGTATTACTTCTATTTTTTACACTTTTAAATTATCAATTTTTAAACAAACAATTTGGAACTTAATTAAGTGCAAGAAAATCATACTTTTCAATTATTAATTATGATTATAAATGATAACTCTAATTAATGATAACTTATTAATCCCATTTCTTAGATATGTCTAACCATTGAGACATCATAACTTTTTATCAAAGCTAAAAAATTTTTCTTTCTTTTTGATATTATCATTTTTGATAAAAATTAATAACCTTTGAATGATATTACTAATTTTGAACGAGCATTCATTATCTTTAAGGTATCATCACTTTCTAAGAAAGTTAATGAATTAGAAGAGGAGCGGATGAATTCAGCTGAAGAAAAAGCACGATTACGAGCTGATAATGCCGTGCTTACCGAGCGTGTGCATATTTTAGAAGAGCAGTTGCAGGCTGCTGAACAAAGGTTTTTATTATTATTTTCTGCTTTTTAAATCATTTATAATTAACGCATTTTTTATGTTTAAAAATGATGAAAAATTTAACTAAAATAATTTAAATTAAAATAAAAAAATTTTAACTCAGAAAAAGCAACAAAGCAAAAAAGAAGAAAGAAAAAAAACTTTAAAAATTTTAATTTATAATTCATTGTTTAAAATTTTTTATTTTCATATATTGTATCACTTTCCTATTTAAAAATTTTTTTTTTCATTTTCTCTACTCTCTCTCTTTCTCTCTCATTTACAAACAAGAAAAATAGAAAAAGAAAAAAGAGTGAAATTCCTATAAATTAGTTTGACTTTAATAAAAGTTTGAATTCAGTTGAAATGGATTATAGTAGAATTTGTAATTATAATGAATTAATAAAGAAAAGAAGAAAAGTAAGCAAAAAAGGATTTTTTTTTTTTAAAAAGGACTTTGCTAAAAAAGATCTTTTTTTTAATTATCAAAATTTATATTTAGTATCAGAAACTTACTTAAAATTGCAATCATTTCTTTTCCTTTTTAACGGAGTTGCTTATTTTTTCAAAAATAAAGAAGTCCAAAAAAAAAAAATAAATAAATAAATAAAAAGAATTAAAAATATGATAGAAATATTGTTTCTTCCTTTTCAATTAAAAAAATCCAAACATTTTTTTAATCATTTTATAATTTCATTTCCACTTCAATAGCTATTCATTGGACAAAAAAAATAATAATAATTTTACCGAACTTTTACTAATTATTATTTTTCAATTAAAAAAATTTATTTTTGTTTTTAAAAAATACAAAATAAAAAAGAGCAAAAAAAGCGAAAAAATACCAAAAATTGTGTGCTTTTCTCTTTTTTTTTTAACATGGAAACAAGTTTAAAATTTTCATTTTTAGTTTAAAAAATTTTTCTCCAAAATTTACAATATTTTGAAAATTAAGTTAACAATTCTCAATTATTTCATTTCTTTTCATTTATAGGTGGAAGGAAAAATTAATAGAAGAAAAAAGCCGTAATCGTGATATTATATCAAGAATGGAACGTGAAAAGCAATTGGAAATAGAAAGTGCTGCTTTAAAATATCAGGTTTCTCTTTGTATTTTTGTGTTTTTTATTGTTTGAGTCATTTAAGCATCATTAATTCTACATTTGCATAATAAAACCATTGATGATATTAAAGATGAAGCACTGATAATTTTAGCAAATATTAGGAAAATAATAATAGTAATAATAACAATAATAACTCAATTTCGTAACTGTTAGAAAAAATGATGCAATAGTAGTTTCAATCAGCAGTTCACTCTGATGAGCTTAATTAATAATTAAAAAATGTGAATTAATTGGAATAGATATTAGCAGAATATACGCGATAGTTTTAACAAGTACTAGAGAAATGAAGTAATAATAATTAAATTTTAAAAGGTGAACTAATAATAACAATAATAGTAATTAAATTTTAATAAATGCTGGAAAAAAGTGAAATAATGAAAGTTAAATTTTAGAAAAGTGATTGTAATAAAATTTTTCTTTGTAGTAAAAAAAAAAAACGAAATAATGTTAATTAAATTTTAACAGATGCTAGAAAAAGATTGTGCTGGCTTGAGGAAAGAGAAGGATAAAATGCAAAATGATATGCTTCATTTACAATTGAATCTTGAAAGTGCACAAGATCAACTGATTGAAGCAAATGCAATGTGTGAAACATTAGAGGAAACTCGAATTAAAATTGAGAGAGATTTTAAAAGGTTTAACATTAATAATTTATTAATTTAATTGCCCTTTTAAGTGTTATGTATAAATTATAGAACAAAGTTTATATTATATAAAATATAGCATATTGTGATAACAGCGAGAATAAAGTGCTTAAATTGAACGCTAGTGATAAAATTTTTATTACTAAGAATTGATCAGACGAAGTTCAAAATAAAAATGAAAATTTGAATTAACTAATGAATAACTGAGTCTATGATTATTGGTTTTTTAAAAAAAATTTATTATAGATATAAAAAAAGGAATAATCAATGTGACTCAGAAATTAGGAATATAATTCAAAGTGCTATTATTTTTTCCTTTTTTGCTATTTGAAATTTTATTCATTTAGCATTTAATTAAAGGTTTCGTGAGGAAGCACAGCAAGACATTGATAGTAGTTCAGAATTGGTTGAGGAACTTTCGCGACAAACGGACGAATTAAGGCGACAAAAAAATGAAGCATTGCCGAGAACATCAGTTACTGAACAAGTAAATATCAAATTTTTTCTAACAAAAAAACCAAATTTTTATTGAACAAATAAATATGAAATTTTTACTTAGCATATAAACATCAAATTTTTATTATAATTAATTTAGTGTAATTTTTATTTATTTGTTTTCTTTTATCATCTTTTGTTAATCATCTTTGTTTTTCTATCATTTTAATCAAATAAAATTTTAATGATTATATATTATCAGTGATTAATGAAACATATGTAATTTAATTATATTTATATCATTTTGTTGTCTTCAATTTTAAATCATTAATTCATGCAATTAATAATTAAAAATTTCCTTTATTTTCCTTTTTGTCTTGAATAATATAAATTTTTTTTCCTTTTTTTTCGTGAATAATCTTAGCTAATTTAAATAACTTTTTTTTTTTCATCGTTAAGTATATAACACATCTTTTAATTATTTAGATAGTATCGTTGGAAAATGAAGTGAATCGATATCGAAAAGAGAACAAAGAGTTAAAACGGCAAATTGAAGATTTACAAGCACAGTTAATACATGATTCGATTGAAGCTGGTCAAAATTTGTTGAAAAATTTTAACGATGATCCAAAGCTATCATTAGCTGACGAATTAAGTGGCAAAGATTCTACCGAGGTTTAATTCCTTTTATTTCTCTCTCCCTCTCCCTCCTCCTCTCTCTCTGTTCCTTTTAATATTTTATTTGTTAAAAATAATTGAAATAAAATTTGCTGTATAATTTTTTTTTTCTTTTCAACAAATATATCAATTAAAATATTTTGAAAAAATTTAAATTATAAAAAAATATCAGCAAAAAAGAAAACAGAAAAAAGTAAAAAAGGGATTATATATATTAATTTTTAGCTATAAAATATTTTCAAAAATAAAAAATATATAAAAAAGACAAAAAAAGAAATTATATATTTAAATTTTTAGCTAATGAATGCATTAAAAGAACAAGAAATATGTAATCAAAAATTACGGAATTATATTAATGGTATATTAATGCGGGTTATTGAATTGCATCCGGAAATTTTGGAAATTAAAGAGAAAGATGAAAAGGAATTAACCGATAGCAGTTGACAATTTCTCGATCAGGTAACCATCATTTTTTTTTCTTATTTCACTTACTTTTAAATAATTTTGATGGAAGATGAAAAATGAAAAAAAAAATTAAATGCAAACTTATTATATAAATTTAAGATTAAAATAAGTATTAGATTTTATAATGAAATTTAGTAAACTTTATTGCATTTTGAAATATAACTAAATTTTTTGAATTGTTTTGTTTTCTCTCTTTTTTTAATTTTCATATTTTCTCCTTTTCTTTTCTTTTTTCCCTCAAATTGTTAATATTAAATTAAAAAGTTATTCTGAAAAAAGAATTCTTTTTAATCATTAATTATTTTTAGATTTATTCAACAAACAAAAATTCACCTACTAAAAGTATTAAAATTATAGAAGCAATGCAATTCGAGATCATTACCTGATGACTCGCTTTCTGCGCAACAAAATTCGAAATTATTATGCAATGATGGATCCACGCTTAACGTATCACGTTTTACGTCAAGAGAAAAATTCACAACAAAGCTTTACAATTATTGGTCCGCTGATTGGAACATTTTCCGATTTACTCCACCACAATCATAGTGCTGATTGATTGTATCGATTGATTGATTGATTGGTTGATTGGATTAATTATTAAAATTAAAATGTTATGTGAGATGAATATAGTTTAATTATATGTATTTAAAAAATAATTGAATTTTTTTTCACTTCAAAAATTATTTTAAAAAAATTTTTGCTTAACAGTTTAAAAGTTCCTTTTTTGAATTATAATAGATAAGAAAAATTAATGCAGAAAAAAAAGATAAAGAAAAAAAATCTAAATGTAGAAGTTACATTATTATATGAAAAACATTATTATATATTGAATTATTGACTGGTAACAATATTGATCCAATTAAATTAGATAATACATTGCTTCTGATCGATATTTATTTAAATTTGCCTTTTTTAAAGTTTTCTATCTATTTTCTTTCTTTCTTACTTTATTGTATGATATTTGTTTAGTTGTTTTGTTTGTGTATTTTGTCTAATTAAATGCTTATTTTTCTTTTTTTTTTGTTTTTGCTACATTAATTAGATTTTAAGATTTTATTAATGAATTTAATATATTTCAAATTGTAATTTGTTTCGTTTTCATTCAATTGATTAGCTTTAAATATTTGTAAATACTGATAAAAGAAAATTTTTTTCCTTCTTTTTCTTTTATTTTTTCATTTTATTCAAATGATTTATGAAATCTTTAACATATGGAAAAGAACTTTAACAAAACAAAACAACAAAAAAAGAGTATATAATACACAAAATGCTTCTTTTCTTCTTTACTTTTCTTTATTCATTAAAAAAGAAAATTGCATTAAAATTTTATTTAAACATTTCCTACTTTTATATTTTTGATTTTTCAAAAAAAAAAAAAATGAATTTATGAAAATTTGAAATTAAATTTTAAATGATTAAGAATTCTTTAAATGCTGTTATTTCTTTCTTCTAATAAATTTCTCAAATGTTAATTCTATTTTACTTATGTAATTTTAATTCATAAATGCAATTAAATTCGTAAATATTTAATGCAATTATTTAACATGAATAGTTTGAAAACAAATTAATTCTTTCTTCTTTTTTTCTCTTTCTTTGATTAATGTAATTCTTAGTAAAAGCAAAAAAATACATTTCTGAATAAAAAATATGATTGAATTTTTCTCTCTTTTATTTTAAAAATTTTTTAATTTTAATTATTGTGCTAAACATATTTCTCCATTGATTTGCTACACTCACTCATTCATTCTTTCTTTCTCTCTCTCTCTCCCTTTTTCTTATGTTATTTATATCTTTTGTAATTGTATTAATATATATATATATAAATTTTCACGCAACACCTCAGAGTTTAATTATTTATTTATTTTTTTTTTTGCAAAATATCACTGCTCGCTTGATCATTGATCATTCATATCATATCATATCATATCATAATTTGACAATTAAAATAATTAAGCAATTATATTTCTTTTGTTTACATTAATACTGAAAAATTTGCATAATTACTATATAATTTTCATTGTTAAATTTAAGTTTATCATTTTTTTGTAACAGTGAAAGAAATATTACGTATGCCACGTATACAATACGTGGACATTATTATTTCAGGTTAAATTTATTTTACTTAAACAAGAAATATATTGGTCAAATATTTGTTTTAAATTTTTTAAGATACTTAGCTTTTTTTTTGACAATTATTATTTTAACAATTATTTTAATATTTTTGATACTAAATGTATGCAATAATGTTGCAAAATAAGATTATAAGAGTGGGAAAAATTAATTAATTAATAATCAAAAAATCACTGATTTTTACGATATCGCTTTTTTCATTAAATTATTAAAAATCAATTTTTTTTAAAAAAATTACATTTAAAATTACTGTTGAAATATTTTAAACCTATTCATTAACTCATTCATTCAAACCGGCATTATAATTTTAAACTTATCTTTCAATTTTAAAAGTTCCAACTTCGAATTTATATTGCATTTTAAACTTAATGTTTCAATTCTGAAAATTCCGATTTCAATTTTTAGATCTATCAAAAATTAATACATTCTAGTAGGAATTTTCATCTGCCTTAAATTAACTCTTTTTTTCATTCAAAAAATTTAGCATATTAAATAAATGATAAACAAAATAATAAATCGATAAAAAAGTTATTATTTTAAATTTTGCTTTTGCCAGAAAACGAAGAACTTTAATTGTATTTTTCATGATAATATGCACTTTGATTATAAGCTGAATATCGTTTCTTTGCTGGGCGCAATTAAACCAAAAACTTTTTTTGATTTTTTAACTCACAATTAACTTTATCGGCAATAAGTCTGCATTTTAATTAAACAATTCATTTAACACAATTAATATTGTAAAACGAAATTGAGTAACATTTTAATGAATCCATTCTTCAAAAAAAAATTTTTTTAAATTAACAAACTGTGAAATGAATGAAAAAAAAAACATGAAATAATGCTAATATTAAGTTCGGCAAACATTTAGTTTGTTTTTTTCCATTTTTAAATTTTTAAATATTACGAATGAAATATGAATAAAGATGTAAATGAATTCTAGAGTTTTGAAACTTTTATTCTAAAAAAATTTAAATATGAGGAATATTTGCAAGCATTGCAGTTATGAAAGAAATTTTCAACATTTTTAAATTAGATAATTTAGAAGTTTTATGTATTATTTATTTTTATTAAATTTGAATGCATTAATGTTAAATGATATATTTACGCATTGTTAGAAAAAATGACATACTTGAAATAGCATTGTTAAATGTTATTTTATCACTAAGTAATTAAATTGAAATTTTATTTTCTTCAATCATAGCAAATAAACCAAATGCATTTAGAACGTCTAACTTTGCCGTCTTTTTCACGTTTTGCATTAAGTTTATCTTCAATATCCGTCAAAATATTGTAACTTTCAGATAATTCATTGTCCATTTGCTCATAGTAATTGTATACTTCTTGAAGAACTTTCGAAATCTAAATTACAAAAAAAATTATTATTAAAATCGGAAACAAATACCCGTTTATGACGTTATCTATATTTCATTTCTATTATTTGTTTCCAATTCTGATTTGTAAAATTCATTTTTCCTTCCTTTTTTTTTTTTTTTTTTTAAGGTGCACAGCAAAAAATTAAAAAAAAAAATTATTCTGTTAAATTTTTTTCAAAAATTTCTTTCATACATACTGATTTTATCATTAATTCTAGTTCTTGCTATTAAACATTAAAATTTTACTCCAAAACAGTTTTAAATTTGTAAATTTATGCTCTAAAACAGTTTTAAAAAATATTCGGTAAGATTTTTTGACAAAATAGTCAATTATTTGGCAAATCAAATAATAGCAACGATAATGATTTTAATAATATTATTTTACTTTTTTTTTTCAAACAATCAAAAATTAATAAAATAAGAACTAATTAATTAACCAATTAATTATTATCAAATAATGCAAATAACAATAAGATAAACTACAGCAACATTATTTCACATTAAAATTTTACCTCATTAGCTAAATTCCGAATATTATCAATGTGCTGAAGTGCACCAATGCTGTCACCAAAACTGTCACCATCTAAAATGCTCTGTTCAATTTTATGAATTCGAAGTCGAATAATCGGTAAACGATGCCATTTCTTCAATGCATTTCTTTTATTCGCATCTTTTTCCATTTCAAATGCATTCCCCTTCACTTTCAATGCTTTCAATTGATTGTTTGCTTCATTTAATTCAAGTGTTTGGTACACTCCTTGAAACTGCAAATCATTTTCATTAATTATTTCAATATTTTTATCAATTATTCTAAAAGTTAAAAAAAAAAATTATTCCAGTGTTTTTATCGATTATTTCAATTATTTTCATTCAAAATTCTTCGCAATATTTTTTTAAAAAGTTAATTTTTAATTTCTGATAAATTTACAAATTTTTGTTTTTTTCTCTGAGTAAAAAAACGAGAAAGAATTTTTGGTTTTTTCTTTTCTTTTACAGGCAATTATTTTAATTTTATAAAAATTATTCTCATACTTTTAAAAACTTTATACTGCTTCCAAAAAAGAATTTTTTTTTTTAAATTTACAACAACCATTTTGGTATTTCGATATTTTTTTTCATAACTATTGATTACATATTTGCCATTTCATGAAAAAAAGAAAAAGATAATTCATAATTATAGCTATCAAATTTTTTTTTTCTGTCATTTACTAACTTTAGTATCATATTTGTTAGCTTCAAGATTAGCCCGATATTTTCACATTAGTCTTTTATATTTTAATATTTATTATTAAATAATATAATACTTTTCTTGTTAATAGCATATAAGTCATTATGCTTCCATATCTATTACTTAATAGCATATAATTCAATATTTTTACCTCCTGCAACATTCATTTCAATTTTATCTAATTTGTTAGTTAATAAGTTTTAATTCGAAACTGTAACCTTCGCTACTTCATCTTTCCAATCTTTTGGATCAGTTGGATTTTGCAGCCATGCCGTTGAATTGATCAGTAATACTTCATTTTCAATTTCATCAAGATTATCAATTCCCTAAATTATTCAATTTGATTTCTATTACATTTTAATTAAACATTTTACCTAATACACATTGAAAAGATTTTAAATGAAATAAATGATGAAGAAAGAATTTAGATTGTGCTTTTTTATTACAATTACAATTACTAATATAATATTAGATTAGATGGAAAGTATTTTAAATAATCATAGAGTAGAATGAGAAAAAATGTGCAATTGCAATGATCTGTTAATATTTCTTTTATCTTTTAAATTTTATTGTTTGACGTCTTAAATTGAAAGTTAAATTAATTATATTTAAAATCCACCAACCATTGTTTTATCATATTCAAGTAACGGAGCAATTTTTATTCTGTCTCCATCATCGCCATCATCGTATCTTTGTTGCTTCTCTTGACATATTAAGCATATTTGCTAAAAAGATTTCTTTTTTTTAGAAAATTAAAATTGTATAATTTATTATTGTTTTACTAAACATTGCGCTATAATTTGATTGAAATAAAATTCAATTACAAAACAAAAAAATGAAGGAAATTTAAATTTTGGTTTTTTAACTTCTTAAAATATTTGTTAATAATTTATCACTAAAATTCACAAATTGTACATTTATTTATAATAATTACCTCTTCTCGTGTTATATTATTATCAGATGATATATTTGACAATGATAAGTTGAAAGAATTTTTATTTTATTCATTTATTTTCAAATTTCTTTTTTTAATAAAATTAAAAATGTTTAATTACATTTTGAAACTTTTACCTGATTTTCATTTTTTGGTGTTGGAGAGATTTCATCGATAGGTTGAGTTAAAAATTGTTCAATAAATGCAATAATTAGAAATGTTTGGAAAGTACCGAACATTTTTTTTTGGAGAAGTTGCACTAAAAATGTTTTTTTTTGTTAAATTAAATTTATTAAATCTTTTATATAAGTTATCATTGCTAAAAATAAAATTTAATAACAAAAAAGGAATCAGTAGCAAGATTAAAATTTATTCTTTTAATTTTTAAATTAAAATTATTTAGTAATTTATTATGAAGTAGAATTAGCAAGAAAAAAATTAGTTAGTCGGCTAAATAAAAGTAGATGAATGAATTTAATCTAAAAATTTTACTTTCCTTTTACTCACACTTTTACTTCGTCTTCCTTTTCATTTCTCTATAGTAACTTTTCCCGGGATATCTTGTTAATGAATGCTTGGTTGATAAAATGTTTACTATAGGGCTTCAGTACTGGCACAGCAAGGAATAATAAAAAGAAAGAGACAAAAAAGAAAAAAAAAGATATTAGAGGTCATCCAGAATCGATATGAGACGTAGCTGATGGCAGTGTGGTATTCGCTTGTCCACTTCTTTAAGTGACCAGAAGGTGGATAAATGACCAAGTGGTGGACAAATGACTAAGAGGAGATTGATAAAAAGAGAAGGAAGAAGAAAAAAGGGCAAAAGAAACGAGTGGTCAAAGAGGGGGGAAAGGTGAAATGGAGCAATATGACCTTTACCCTTCTAATTTGTCCTTTGTCGTTGCTACTGAGTTATTACTTTTGAAGTATATACTGTCGCACTACTATATGATTCATTTTTACAATGTGAAAATACCACCAAATGAATGTAATGCTAAATAAAGAAATAATAAATTCTAAATTGCTTAAAATGAAGGAAAAACAAATGAACACTTCTTTTTTTTATCTAGGTTGAAACTTAAATTTAATACATTTAACTGAAGTTCTTCTTTTTTTTGATTTAAAACTCTACAAGGACAAAAAAAAACCGATACTGATTTTCTTTTTCACAGTTTTACAAAAATTGTTGAAGTTTAAAATCTAATAGACGAAATTAGACATTATTAATTTTATTAAATATTGCTGTAGTTGATTACAAAAATTTTCTTAATTTATATTTAAGTTAATTTAGAATTTTTTTAAGTGAATAAAATAGAAAATTCTAGTTGAAATATTAACTTGAAATATTGAAATGTAAGACATGTCAGATATAAATATAAGCATTCGAATCGAAAAATATTAATTTAAAAATTAACAAAAATTGATATAATATTTGATTTTATGCAATCAGTTTATGCAGGAAATTGATTTTATGACTAATTTCAGCAAATTTTTTATTGCTATCTATTCCATTGATAATTTATTGTCTTTTAAATTATCCAGAAACATAAATTAATTTTAATTAAAAGTTTTTGCTTATCATTTCAAACAATTTTTTCTTTTTAAATCTATGACATAATAATATAAAATTATTAGAATGTAAAGTTAATATCTAGTAAATAAAACTAAATATTAATTTTAAGTATCATATAAATTTAGAATTGGAATTAAAAGGAAAAATTTAGTAAATGAAATTAAATACTGAATGCAATTTTATATTCAATTATATCCATTTTTTTATCGTTGTTGACATTTTAATTATTTAATCTTGCAAATTTCACATATTTCAACAAATTGAGGATATAATATGAATTAGTTAATTTTTGCTTAAATTTTTTCGAATTGACCAAATTCTAAATTGTTTTCACTCAAATGGCTCGTAAAAAAGAATATGTAAAAAATAAAATTTTATCAACAAATATTAAATGATTAAGCATTATTTGCATTATAATCAACAATGCATTATTGTTTAATTGTTGAATATAATTTGTGTTATAGGTTAAAGAGTTAAAGATTAATTTAATAGTGTTAATTTAAAAGAAAAAAATTCATTTAATTCATTACTCAATTGATTATCTAATGCTAACCAGCTAGAAACGCTATTGTATGCTTTTATATCTGCAAGTGAACTTCACTTTTGACTAAGAAGCATTGAATTAAATCATATTTTGAGAGGAGGTTAAAGGTCAATCCGAATAGATGTTTTGTTCTGTTTAGTGATCAACTAATTATCTCTCTCTCTCTCTCCCTTTCTCTTTCCATTTTATTGCTAAATGATAAGAAGTTGTTTCACTGTGTCAGAATTAAGTTTTTGAAGTTATTAAATATGAATCATAAACATAAACTTTGCTAATATGGCTTAAAATTTTAGAACAATAAAACAAGACGAAATGATCACAATTGCAATAAATCAAAATAATATTCTAACCTTAAAAGTGTTTAAATTCAAATTGATAAATTTAAATAATTGGCATTTCACAATTTTCATAAATTAATTAATTGATGGATAAAGAAGAGTTAAATATTTAATTTCCCTTCCCTCTACCCCTCCCCTTCCAAAAATAAAAAAAATAAAAATAAAAGAAAAAATCAGGATAATATTGCAACAATTTGTAATCGAATTTTTCCTTTTTTTTTTTTTTTTTTTTTTAAAAAGCTATTTTTTATTTATTATTATTATCGTAAATTCCATAGCCATTTAATTTTTTTTCAAAAATCTCTGAAAATATTTTGTTAACAACAAAATATTTTACTGACTTTTCTTATATTCAGATACAGCAAAAAAAAAAAAAAAAAAAAGACACACACACACAACAATTAATGATGAAAGGAATCCATATCAAAAGAAGATATTTCGAACCAATCAATTATTTATTCAATCGAATTTGAAATTAAGTTGTTTGTTATCTAAAAATAAATAAATTAATTAATTAATTAAATTCTTTGCTTATAATGCTATTATACATTTATCACTGAACTCTGACAATGCATTTATCATTTCCCAATTTGAAAGATTCAAATTAAAGTAATACATTTAAAACGAAATTATAAAATTTTCCACTAAATAAAACTTGCTATGAGTAAATTGAAACTAATTTTCGAAATAATTTTCATTTTTCAAAAATTATATTACACAAATTCCTTTCTTTTAACCTCTTACAATACGCATAATTAAATTTTGAAATTGTTTAATTTAAGAAAGCATAAATTGGCATTAATTTTATTGCAAAAATATTTTGTGAAGACTTAAAAAGGATCCAAAAGATTAATTTAACAAAAAAGTCTTAAAACTTTAAAGCTATTTTTTTCAGTGTAAATAAATCCTACAAAAAAAAATCGCTCCTAATTAATATAAGAATTAATTATGATTAAAGAAAATGAAATGAAACAAACATCCGAGATAAATGATTCCTAATAATGAATGAAGGATACAGATGAGAAATCCTGATGCTGTCGCAATAAGAAATGCTCGTCTCATTGATGATACTGCACTTTCATATTCTAAAAAATTTGAATTTAATTAAATGAAAAAAAAAAGGAAAAAATTGAACTAATAAGAATTATACAATTATTTGTAATTGTTTTAAGCATTTTCTTTCCTTTTCCATCCATTATTTTTATATTAATTCATATTTCATAAATATTTTTTAAGAAAAATTAAAAAAGATTATTTATCTTTTTATATTTTTAAGAAAAATTGAATACGATTACTTTTTTACATTTTTTTCAAATGCAAATTTTTTGTATTTTACCAAGTTTATCCACTTATTTATTTTTCATTTTTAATTATAAATTTTTATTATAAATATTTAATTATATTATTTTATCATTTTTAGCATTATTAGTTATAATTGAATTGATAGTAATATTACACTAAGTTGATATATTTAAATTTATTACTTGCAAAAGTGATTAAAGAATAATTAAATTAATTAAATATTAAAGTAGTTCAGTTTAACTAATCATTATGATCAAACATAACAGTTAAATTAATGAATTATTGAATGATTTAGATGAACTAATTCAGATCAGACAATTTTATTTAATCAATAAATCAACCTCATCAATTAGCATATTATAAAAGAGTTAAAAATTCTGATTTCTTTATAATAATTACCATAAACATCTTCGAGTCGATCATCGTCATTTTTTTGTTTTTGCTCCTAAAACAGAAAAATTTTAATAGTTCTTTTTTTTTTAAAAAAATTTCTTAATTTTTTTTCTATTCTTTTTAATCATTTTTGCTTTCTCTCCCTTTTCCTCCTTTCTCCCTTTCCCTCCCTTAAATAAACATTAAGAAAAAAAGAACGATTCCATTTTGATTACTTTAATTTCGACAAAATAAATTTTTTGATTATCATAAGCAGAACTTAATTATCATAAGCAGAACTTTTTATATTTCTGTAAATAATTTCATTTGATGAATTATATTAAAAAAATTAGTTATAATTGACGGAAAGAAAAAAGGAGAGTGAAAGAGAGAGAGGAGAGAGGAGAGCGACTAAGGAAAATTTACTATTACTCATCTATTTCTAATTGTTGGGCCAGTAGCAGTAGTATTATATATTATTTTGCTATAAGATTTTCTTGTCACTTACTTCTTCTGCTAATTGTTTACCAACCTTATCTGATAATCTTTTATTATCACTCTTCTTACTTTGTTTTTGTTCTTCCACTTCTATTTCAACATCTTTTTTTCTTAAAATAGCTTTGCCTTTTACTTTACTCTTTCCACTTTCCTTTCTACTTCCACCAATTGTTGGCCCAATAGCAATAGTATTAATTGGCTGTTTAATGCTGGACAACATTGGTGTTGATGGTGGCCCAGTCTTTGCTTCATCATCAGTTTTTGCATCAGTTTTGATTGGATCCAAAATTTCATAATCATCACCCATATTTCTAATCTTTCTCTTGTTTTTGCTTTTTCCTTTTTTTCTGGAATTAAAAAATAATTCTTATTCTAAGAAATTATTATATAATTAAACAATGCTTTTTGATAGAATTTTGAGAAAAAAGAAAAAGTTGAAAATTAAAATATTAGATTTGTTTATTTTATTTCCATACTTCTTTTTTAATATTAATTTTGATAGTCATAGCTTCAAATTTCTTATCGTAAATTTCAACAATCAAAACTTCAAATTACAGTCAAAACATTTTATCTATCAAAAAGTTTGTTAACTTTAATTGCAATTGATAAGTTTACTTTAATTTAATAAGTCATTTGTTATCATTATGATTGACATTATGATAATATAATTGTCATCTGATGAGGTAAAATTATTATTTAATTATTGAGTTATACTGTTCTGGAATATATCAATGATTCAAATATATCAAAGATCAAATTATCCTTCACCTTTCAAATTTTTCTTATCATTAATTGACAAATAAACAAACAAATGAATTAATATAACCATACAACTAACTTTGATGAAAGCAATCAAAGAAATAAATATTTGTTCATTTCTAATTTAATCTTATTTTACTCTCTCACACAAGTTAATAATTATGCAAATTAATTTGTAATTCTATAACATTCTAAAGTATTATCATAATTGAAGACATATAATTTTATCCAATTTCATGTTACAATTAGATGCGTGAAATGCCACGCACTTTTTAAGAAATTTTTCCTATCATTAATTGACAAATAAACAATCAAATGAATTAATTTCAAGAAATGTTTGAGCTTCATGAAAAGTGCTTTTCAAACAACTTTTATGTTTGCTAAAATATTAATTCAAAATTATGAGACTTAAAGTCCATCCAATAATTTCTCATAATAATACCATTGAGATTCCAGAATTTCATTTTGTCCTAATGGTTTAAGCCGTAGTAGCCGTGACGTGTGTGGTATTATTGAGTCGCGGTAATATGTGCATGGTAATATCCCGGGATATCTCATATGCTTCCTTATGTTCACTTATATGCTTATAATACCTTTTTAGCATGGATAATCAATTACCATCAATAATGGTGCCTCCCGAATATGACGAGGAATTGAATCATTTGGTTACAAATTATTTATTTATTATTTTATTTGTCATTTATTATTCACTACTATTTATCATTATTATTTACTTATTATTATTATTTATTATCTTTCTTTTTGCTAACAGTAATTGTGTAAGTTGATCGAAAGGTTTTTAGAATGATTGGATTGTTCGCTTTATGAGAAATCACCAAACTGTGCTCTTCATCGTTTGGTGATATTGGTATAGATAATAATAATAATAATAATAATAATAATAATAATAATAATAATAATAATAATAGTGATGTAGGTAAAACTCAATGATAGTAATGTAAATAAAGTTAACAAAATGAGTGCCAGGATTATGAAAGTAAAAAATAATGAAAAACATTACAAATAATAAAAAAAATGAAACAAAAACTTTGTTCAAAGAAAGTATACCTAACAATAGCAACTAATTAAAAAAGCTCTGTGGGGTCAACTTTTAAAAAAAACCATGCAAAAAAAAAATAAAAGATAAAAAACAGAAAAAAATAAAAAGAAAATCACTACAAAGTTTTAATAAAACAAAATTTTAATTTTTGTAAAGTTAAAACCATATAATATACCAATCTTTCAAATCAGACAAAACACTGAACCAAAAATGAAAAGGTGCAAACCAAAATTAATCAAACAAGAAATGCCACCTTTTTTGTTTATGTTTCTTATTATTATTTTTTTTTTTTTGCTTTGTTAGCTTTCCAAAAATCTATGTCAATTATTAGTGAAGACTGTTCAGTTGTTCAGTTTAGTATTATTTTATATATGCTAAGGATAGCTACTTTCTCTTCCTCAGTGATTTTACAAAATTAATTCGATTTTCATAAAAATTTAGCACACTATTGTCTGTTTCAGTTTTTTATCAAAAATGTACGAAATGGTAGTGGTATGAAAAAGTCTGATTTACACCAAAATTTTTATAGTATTTATAAAGCCTTCGTTGAAAATCGGCAAAATTTAATCAATGAATTGAGAAATATAGCAGATGAGGTATATGCGATTTATCATATTTGCTATAATAATGAAGTGCCATGAATTGGATTGAAATGTACAGTCTTATTTGATATGTCAATTCGTATACATGAAATAGTGGCATTGTAACGCTCTGAAAAAAAAGTACATATTTACACAATAAAATTTTCAGGTATAAGATTCCTGAAGTTATTAATATGATTAGTACCGTAGTAGGGAGTTATGGAGGAAATATCATAATGGTGAAAACAAACTTAGTAATATTGATTCTAAACTTATTTGTTTTATCAATTCAAATAATGCCTTTTTGACAAAGTAAGGATCGGTGATTCCTAATTGAAATCATTTCTTTCAGTCGGTATGTGTTAAAAAAAGTTGTACCATTTCTACAATCACGGGAAGTTCAGTTGGTATTGCTGGTGGTACTGCAGCAATTGCTGGAACTATTGTATATCCACCGTTACTTGTTGGAGGTTTTTTCTTTCGTTTTTCAAATTTACTAATTCATTAGAACGGAATCTATTTTGGACTAGGAAATAGACCTACAATGTTAAAATCATCAGTAGTGAGTATGTAGATCAGTCTTAGAGCTTTTTTGTGTAGGATTGGTTATTGCTGGGCTTGCTACGGCTACAAATTTGGGGACGCAACTGACCGAATTCATACTTTTTCGAAATATGGTCAAGAAGGTGGAATCACTGTCAAAATATGATATCGAACTGATGCACGATATTGAAGACATTTATCAAGATGCGCTGAATTCTAACTTGGTTGGTTGTTTGCATTTCAAATGAAATGAGCATTGAAGAAAATATAGTGAAAATCTTGAAGATTTCCAACTTAATCTGTTTTACCAGTTTCATATGAGTCATATCTTGATCTTTCGTACCCATTAATAAATAGGACAGTTTTTTCCATTAGTCTAGAAATTTCGCATAAGATGTAACATTTCAAATTATGCTGTGTTCACAGACAATTTGCAGTCATTCTCTCACCATTATTACTCCCTTTTCATGATTGTAATTTCCTCAGTTTTCTTTATTTTAACAGCTTCATTTTATTTTATTTTATTTTTTTTTTTTATTATCATTTCTTTTCTCTCCTAGTTTGAAGTAAACGAACAAGCAGATAGAACTTTCCGGACCATGGATACTGCAACAAATGACCTCCCATCATTGGGACTTCAAATTGGCGCCAGTGGTGCGAAAAGTGCAACCGCTTTAGGCTTGCGAAGTGTTGGAATTCAAGTGGTAATTGTTTTTTTTTTTTTGGATGTTTGAAAAATTTTTATGTCTTCTCTATAATCGAGCCTTTCAAAAAACTCCAGAATTGTCAGCTGTTGATTGGAAGTAGAGAAATCTAGTGGTAAAGCCAGCTGCAAAGGTACTGAAATATTCAGTACTAAACAATACTGTGACTGAAGCAATGGTCAAGCTTTCTGCAAGTTATTTATTAAAAATATTTAAGAAAAATTACAGAGTCAGATTGGAAGCACACTGATGCGGGGCATTGCACGTGGTGCCATTGGGATTGGTATTATTATTGACGGTGTGACGATGTTTATATCAGCGCGTGACATAGCAACAGGTTGTTCAACAAAATTTAGTGATTGCTTAAATAATCTTGCGGATTTCAAAGAAAAAGAATTAGGGCAAATTATGACTAGAATTGATTTAAGCAATTTACTTATAGAAGAGTAAATTATTGTGAAAATGTTCAATTTCATTGTGTATATTTGGGTTATTGTATTTGTATATTCCTTCTACTGCTTATGTAAGTACTATTCTTTCTTCAGTTTTGCTCAGCTTTCCATAAATCCGATAAATTATAATTGTAATTGTTTATCACAGCTGCTTCTCGGGAAAACAAAAAGTGTGAAAAAAAGGTTTTTCTCCTGATTTCGAATTAAGACTGTAAATCTATGGTACATACCTTACTGAAAACGAACCCAATTTTACTATAACTAAAGATATCACATAAATCCTCTCCATATATAGTATAATATCAGAAACATCGTACAAAATCAAATAAAATCGAAGGCAAATTATTCTACCCAACTTTCCTCCTTCTGCGTCAAAGGTTTGAATTCAAAATGCCAAATGCATTTACTTCGTTATTTTTGCTGCATTTGTTAATGGTGGTTCAGGGGTTTTGTTTCATTTACAGTTGTAATTAATTTATTGAAGTGAATTTTTTAAATGTTAACACGAATTATGACTAAAATCTAGGACAATTTAAATCATTTGTATGACCCTGTTCGATGAGATTACAAGGATTATTTTTCAAAAAGCGAAAAAAAAAATTAGAAATGCGGTTGGTATATTTTTATTAATTGTTGAATAAATCATATGGAATATTATAAATATCAATAAAAATAAGGGATCTTAGTTAAAATTCCACGAAAACCCTTCTTTGCGCAATTAATAATAGCCAAATCATATGAGGAATGATCAGTCAATTGTGATTGAGTGTATTATTATGATTTTAAATTAAGCTATCCGTAATCATAATAATAATTATGATGTATTACTATTGTTATTATTCACTTGTATTTGATTATAATAATATGTTATTGTTATTATGATTAAATATAAATGAATTTCAAAACCAATTAGTTTTAATTAAATACTGTTGGTTATGAAAACTAGCACTGCATAGATGTAATCAATAGAGTATAAGCATAAAAATTACTTATTTCAGAATGTCGAAACGGAAAGTGGTGGCGTCAATGGATGTGACAGATTCGCATGCTGATAATGGAAATGAAGGCAGTTCTGGATTGAAAAAGAACAGAGGTAAGCGTTGTTTAGTAATTATTTAAGTATTATTTATACTCTTAGTAGGAATTCATTTTTACGATTATTACGACATTATCAGATGAGGAAGTAAATGTGAATACAGAAGAAATATATTATTATATTGCTACTATTAACATTATTACTAATTGTTATTATTAATTGTTATTCTTTTTTATTAATAATCTTAGTATTGTCAATTATTAATATTATTCTTTTTAATATTATTGTTCTTATCACTGCAGTTATTATTATTATTATTTTGGTCCTATTAGTTATTATTATATTTCTCTTTATTATATTTCATTTTATTTGTCTCTTCTGGCAATTTTTGTTTTCCATTCAGTTTGATTTTTCGTAACAAATAATTGAATTTATTGTGTAAATTGCAGTACTTCCTTACGAAGAAACATATTTACGTTCAATACCACATGCTACTCAATACGAGAAATCATTCATGCACCGCGATACGATAACTCATGTCATTGCAACAGCGTAAATTTATATTCTACATTTTTTTTTTAAAATTTTGCTTAAATTTATTTCAGTTTTCTTTATTTTCATAATATCTTCTTTAGTATAATATATCATTAGATGCAAATTAGATACTAAAACAGGTTTGTATATTTACTAAGTTAATTAGGGCAATTAAACAATTTTTTCGCACTATTTATGCTTTAGTCCACTAATTACTTCAAAAGTAAATCAGCTCCAATTTGATTAAAATCAACACAGGACACATTTACTTTAGAACAGATTTCATTATAACAGCAAGCACGGATGGGCACTTGAAATTCTGGAAGAAAAAACATGGTGAAGGAATTGAATTTGTCAAACATTTCCGATGCCATCTCCGTTAGTCTGATTTTAAATATGATTCCATAGTAGAGCAAATAGTAGTCTTTGGTTTTTATCGCTTGCAATTGTCGAATGATGCAAAATACAGCCAATTTTTTTCCAGAAGTATATTCGAGATTGCGGAAGTGTTTTAAAAAGCTAAAGCAAACAAATTAATCATCTTTATGATTATTCAGGCATTTCTCGAGATGTCATGAGCTAAGGAAAGCTTTATATTTTATCGTTTAATGCTTCAAAGACTTAACTTAAGTGAATGTCACCTGAATGTTTATAGCCACCATTCTGGAAACTGATCTTTGCCATGTCTCAAAGCAAATGTTCAGTTTATGTTTTACTGCAGATGCTTTTTCTCACTTAACGGTCAATCATAACGGGACATTAATGGCAACGGTTTGTATGCAAGACAAGTCAGTGAAGATATTTGATATATCCAATTTCGATATGATTAATATGCTTAGTACTGAATTTGCTCCGAGAACTGCTGCGTGGATACATCAGGGTTAGTAGTAATTAAATGCTTTCAATTCTGTGGTTGAGTTATTACTCAGTTATTGTCATCTAAAATTGCAGCTGCCTCACTTTTAAGAATACTTTTTTGCTTTCTAAATTTCTTTATTCATTATTCTCTTACACTGAAGAATCAAATAGTGGACCAGTTTAATTAATGAATAATCAATCATTTGGGGAATTTTTGCCATTTTTGGTAATTACAGGAAATGATGTTATACAGGCGTTAGCTATATCAGACTCAGATTCAGGGAAAATCTACATTTACGACGGCAAAGGCGATGATAGACCAATTCATGTTTTAGATAAAATCCATTCAAATTCTGTGAAATTTATCGAGGTATATCATACTATCGCTATATCCAATTTAAAAATTTTAAAATCGATTTTGTTAATGATTATAATTTATATACATATATAATTTTTGTATTTGTTTATTTGATTTAATATTTTTAGTATAACTTGCATTTTGATTGTGCTATTTCTGTTGATACAAAAGGAATGTTGGAATATTGGTCTGGTCCGAAGCGCGAATATCAGTTTCCGGATAACGTGAAGTGGACGTATAAAACGGATACTGATCTTTATGAATTTGTTAAAGTCAGTATATTTATTTTTTTGTAAATTATAGGATGGATCATTACATATGTTCCTTCTACTTTTTCACTACTCTATATAGTTTTTGTTTCTGAACATTTGTTGATTTCTTAGATGTTTCTTTGGTGATGGTCTTGAATTTATTGTTATTTAACATAATTTGTAGTTACGAATCGTTTCATTATTTTATGTCAAGCCGATAAACAATGAGAGATGTAATCCAGAATAAAGTTTGTTTTGTAATTGTTTTTATAAAATCTTTTTTGTATTGTTGATTTTGGAGTTTTTTTTTTTTTTTTTTTTTTTTTTGTAGGTTAAAGCACCACCACGTTGTTTGCTGATATCACCAAATGGGAAATTATTTGCTGCTGTTGGAGCAGATCGACGTATCCGAATATTTGGTTTTGCTAGCGGGAAGTTGATAAAAGTCATCGATGAAACAATGCGGTTTTATATTGATCAAGCTGCAGCTAATAAGTAAGTTTTGAAATGAGGAAAATAAGGAGGAAGTAGAGGAGATGATCATTTATGTAAAATTTTGATGTAACTGTACAGTTTGATTTGTATTGATTCAACTACATATTAATTCTTTCTCACAATGACCGGAATCATTTTCTCTGTCATATCTTCATGATGTAAAAGAAAAAATGATGACACTCAATAAGAGCACAATGGAAATTTTTTAAAAGCTGTTAATATGTCATATAGTTAATTTCCATTATAAGATGCACTCTAGTGAATGATAAAATAGTTTCGACAATCTAATTGCAGAAATTACGGCTTACAAAATATGGAATGGAATCGACGAGTGGCACTGGAAAAAGAGCTGGATCGTGATGAAAATACTTTCCAGCATTTATCGATTTGTTTTGACGAAACCAGTAATTTTCTTATTTATCCTACACCAATTGGGATCAAAGTAAGTCTTTTCATATGTCTTTTTTGATTTCTGCACTTCATTCTTTTTCATCGTCAGAAAAAAAAAGTCATGCTTTAGAGATAAAGTAGACATTGATAATTCATTTCATAATTTCTATTTTACTAGGTCTACAACTTATACACTGATGAAATAATTCGTGAAATTGGCAAAAATGAGAATATGCGATTTTTGGGTGTCTCACTTTGTCGTGCTGTACCATACTTCAAGGGACAGTTACAGGTTTATTTAACTTTTTCTTTTTCTTTCTTTTTTTTTTTTTTTTTTTTTTTTTTTTTTTTTTTTTGCTCATAGATTGTCTGTTTTTATTTCTGGAAGGATGAATGTATTTTCATGGACTAAAATAATAATTGAGATTTTCTTTTTATTTTTCATATTTTATTGAAAGAATTGAGAAGTCTTTGTTAATTTAAAAAAGATTACATTAACAGTATACTCTTATACATGAAATATTTACATTCCTAGCATTTGTTATCATTTGGTTCCATTATAGGGAGCAGCAGTGACAGTTGATGCAGTGGCTGCAACAAATCCAAATCTGAAGAAAACAGAGCCTGATCCTATGTTGGTAAGGCTTTTGTAATTTATTCATAATATATTATATCATATCTATCAAGTTTTTTCAGTTCTTTGTTTAGGTTGCTTGTGCATATCGGAAAGGCAGATTTTATTTGTTTACCAATGCAGAGCCTTTTTCAACCGATGAAAGTGATGAAGCAGACGGTACTGGTATGGGACGGGATGTCTTCAATGAAAAACCAAGGAAAGAGGATATTATAACAGCTGTAGAGGTATTTACAGTCGTTAATTAGGATATTGGGGCGCTTAATTGGTTTGTCTGCTTGTTTGTTTGTTTTTCTTCTCAGATGTTTATTTTTAGGCGAAAATTCTAAAATTTCCAATTTCAGAGTGATACAATTGATAGTAAAGTGACAGAACATGCAGTAATACATACCTCATTCGGTGATATACACATAAAATTATTTCCCAATGAATGTCCAAAAACTGTAGAAAATTTTTGCACGCACGCAAGGCGAGGTTACTATAATGGTCACACATTTCATCGTGTAATTAAAAGCTTCATGATTCAAGTAATTTTATTTTTCAAATTTTTTCTTTTAATTTTATTTGATTTTGATTATAGTGTAGAAAATATATTTTATTTCGAATAATTAGTTGAAGAAGTAAAAAGAAATCTATAGTCATTAACGCTGTTAATTTATATAATGAAGACAACTATGTCTTGTTGGACTTTTTTTTTTAAAATACCGAGTTTTTTTTTTTTTTTTTTTTTTTTTTTTTGCAGTCAGTGTAATTAGGAACAGTACAATTACAGAAAAAAATACTATGTCACTTTAACTGACTCTTTTTTTGAATTTTCCCGTATAGATCACTTTTTTTTCCCTAGTTTTCTATTATTCTAATGTCAGATTTATTCATTTCTCACTGCAGATATTTTTAGGCTGGCGACCCTACCGGTAAAGGAACTGGTGGTCAATCCATTTGGGGTGAAGATTTTGAGGATGAATTTCATCCCAAACTTAGACACGATAAACCTTACATGGTTTCAATGGCAAATGCAGGTCCGAATACCAATGGATCTCAATTTTTCATTACAGTTATTCCTGCAGATTGGTTAGATGGCAAGAATACCCTTTTCGGACAGGTTTGTATTGTTATTTGTATTGTTACTTTGATTTTACGCAGGCATAGAAATGAATGAAGTTGATTTTGTTCTGCTGTATTTTTGCCACTTTATTACGAATGATGTCATTTTTATTACAGTTATTATTAATATAAAAGTGTAACTTATGGAAGTAGTGTGCTTTGAAATTGTAGCATTAACTTATAAAATGTTTTCGGAAAAATTTTTTTAGTATAGCATTTTGCAAGTAACTAGAATCTTTGCATTTATTTTAAAAGACATTCTGATTCAAAACTAATTATTGGTCTACTTGAAATATTACAATTATTGTTTTTTGTTTTTCAGGTAACAGAAGGTTTTAGTGTAGTGCAAAAAATTAATCAGGTACCGACATTTGAGAAAAGTGGCCGGCCAAAACAGGAAATAAACATTATTTCTATTACATTGAAATAAGTATATACTTATTTCAGTGCAAATAATTTTGTCAAATATAAATTTCGTGTCATATTATTTGTAACACTTCTAATATATGATAAAAATTTCAGTTTTTTCATAGCACTTTGCTTATCGATTCTGACAAAATGTTCACGAAATGCAGTTGTAAATATTTAACATCTCAGTTTTATGTTTTGCACAAAGATAAAATAAAAGTAATTGTAAATCTTATTACTATTACATCCATAAAAACAAAGTTCTTTTTTTTTTCTTTTTGTCACCAAAATTCTTATATGACTACTCGAATGCTAATCAAATTCTTGTATCACATATTGGCCGTAAACAGAAATTTTTTCGTATCGGATGTTATTGTTGCATATCCAAAGAACCAGAGATACTTTTCTCGATGGTCTATTCGCTTTAACCAAAGTATTTCCATATTCTCTATGGCTCTCTTCTGCGCCAGAGCAGATCAGTCTTATGTTTTTTGTAATCTATAATCTAAGTTATAATAATAGGTTGTGTGGTTATGATTCCTAAAAGAGTTTATGCATATCACTTCTCTTTTGGTGTTTCATGAATCATTCTCATTCATCCAATTACTTATATATCATTTATCCTAAAATTTATCTATATATATATTGTTTATTCAAAATGTTTTACTGAATGAAATGATAAGTTATGTTGTCGAATAGCAGACAAACTATGCAAAATGATTTAACTGAAAATGTCATTAATAAATATCAAAAATTTGATTTTAGCAATGATAGTTTCATTTCGCAAAAAAAAAAAAAAAAATGATAAAATACATATGTGTGAGAATACATATGTTATGAAGAAATCATCACTACTGTGGGGATGTTATCATGATAACGCAACAGATTTTTTTTATCAAACTTTTTATTAACTTTGATTGTCTATTTCAATGCTATTCAAAAACGTTTTGAGATGCCAGGTTAAGTGGTCCATTATCTCAGTACACATATAGTTTTTGGCCATTAATTTAGTCACATGATCTGGTTACTTTAGCATCTAGCCAAATTGAAACAGATGGTCTGATTTACATAAACAAGGCTAAGAATAGGAAATGTAAATAAACTAATTTTTCTATCAATATTTCATAATTTCTTGGAAAAGAATGTATAAAGGAAAAGGGGAAAAAGGTAGAAATTTGATTAATTTGAATCAATAAAATTTTCTACTCTTTTCTTTTATAAAAATCATTTAGAATCTAATTTATTTATTATAATGAATGCTTGAACGATGCACAAGGCCTGTTTCAATTACTAGCGTAAACTTTTGAAACTGAAAAATGAGGAGAACAAAAGTTTGAACTTAGATGGTAATTTGCAAACATTGAAAGCAAAATAAACACAAAACGGACATATTAATTTGAAAGAAATCTTAGAAAAAAAAATCAGTGTACATTTCAAATATGCAATGAAGGAAACATTTGCAATTTTTGGGTTAAAATTGTGTTTGTGCTTAAATTAGAAACAATTAAAAATTTGGTGCAATAATTGAAATCACAGCTGAAAGCCGAAAGCCAATATGTCTAACATTAATTAATTCACAACAGTTACAAATCTATGTATCTCATATGTATGTTCATATTTTCTTTCTACTTTCAGTTTGATCGGATGGCAATTCAATTGATTTACGACATAGAATGATTTAACTAATAACAGCCTTATAGCAATGAATCCATTTTTGCATTTAAAAATATATCATTTCTGCAAGCAAAATATAATTTAAAATTATCAGTGATTGCTTTTTCTTCTAAAATTTCATCAGCTGAGATATATGTTGCATCTATAATATCAAAAATATATAACAATAATGTATATTCATTGCTTAATTCAAAGATAAGCAAAGTTATACTTTTGTGTCAACAATGCAACATTTTTATAAGTTTGCTTGTAGGTTTTATAAACATTTGATTTTTATCTAAAAAAAAAAATTGATTTATACTCAGATAACAATGGAAAAATTTACAGAAAAGAATATCGACAGACTAAAATGTTCTTTCAAATGCAAAAATATCTTTACAGATTGATTCATCATCAAAGCTTCGATAATTCAAATTCCATATCAAAATAACCTGTTTCCCAGAATGGTTACCAAAACAAAAACCTAATTAATAATTAATGCCACTGTCATAGATCTATGGGATTTTTATATGGATCAAACTCTTGAACGAATGTTGGAATTTCTTACCTATATTGATAATGGACGGTGATTATTTTTACCTGAAATTTTCACCTGAAAAGATATAACCCTATAAACAGTCTTTAATTATAATTAAAATTTATTGATTAGATTTGCTATAACCAAGTCATTTCATGCAGATTCATCTTCAATGTATTACTTTTACATAATATCGTTTGAATTATACTTTGAACAAATTTCTTAATCTAACTGTTCCAGTTGGGCAAATGATTACTTACTGATTTGTTCTGAAATCGTTATTGTCGAAACAACGGTTGTTTTAAAAACATTTTAACAATTTACGAGATTATTTATGACAATTTAAAAATATTAAAAAAAATTTTTTTTCAAAAAAAAACAATTCACGAGTTGTAAAGACAACAAAAAGAAAGGTGGTTGGTTACAATAGCAAGTGACAGGTGGTTACAGTAACATGTGGTTGCAACAACAGGTGGCTACAGTAGCAGGTGGTTGCAGCAAAAGGTGGTTTCATGTGGTCACTGTGGCAAGTGGTAATTAGTTGCAACCAGTTGCTATCAATTTTTTACCAAGTCAACTTTACCAATTTTATATTTGCTGACATTTTTTAGAGTGTATATGTTGTGCAGTTTAATTTTGGTATCCTATGCTTCCAGATTCCTGATATTAGAAAATAGTATGATACCTTGTAGCCTTGCTAAGTATATTTCGTTGCTGTTCGTGTAGTCTCTCCGAAAATGCATGCAATGTACTAAGTAATAGTAACAAAAAAAACTGCAATTAGTGCAGTTAGCAAAAAGACAGGTATGAGATTAAAATAATTACGGAAAAAAAAGGAAATTAAAATAATGTAATACACAAATAAGAAAAAATGGAAATTATTGAAAATGCGAGCTATGAGAATTAATTTAAAGAAAAAATTAAAATTAATTTAAAAAAGAAACAAAAAAATGAAAGGAAGTAATATTTAGGAAAACTTCGATCAACTAAGATTTAATCAACAAGAAGCATTAGATGAGTTAACTTTATAAAAGTTATAAGAAAGATTTCGTAAAATGATATATATAACAAAAGAAAAATTATATATAATGGCATGAAAATAGAATTTTTTCAAGAAAAATATGCGCAAATGAAATCAGTGATAAAAAGAAAGAAAAGGTGAGTTGCTAAAGAAGAGAGACATTAGCTGTGGTATTGTACAAAAAAAGCTAATTCAACAGAAAATCAAGAAAAAGTCAAGCTATTGTAAAAAGGTAGAAATAGACCTGTTGCAAATGAAACTCCCAGTTGTTATTGCAAAAAACAAAGAAGAAAAAGGTGAAATGAAAAAAAGAAAACAAATGATACTGAAAATTAAATAAGAAAATAAACTATAAGAAACGAAAAACGAAAATATAACAAATGGAACAGATCCCGTAGACGATTTTGCCACTAATGGAACATAGAACAGAAATAATAAAGAAGAAGGAAAGAAAAAAGCAACAAATGTTTAATAATAATCTCTTTAATAATAATTTACATAATTTTAAATGAAAATATGTTTATTACATAAATGAGTGGCTTATAACCGTATTTAAAAAATCAGTAAACCTTAAAGAAGCAAAAGAGAAAAATGTCGATTGATATAAGTTAGAGAATACTACGACGAGCAAAACATCAAAATCCGTGCCACGTCTTAAATTTTACTGGCAAGCGGTTACGGTAGGAATTAGTTACAAATATCAGTAGGTGATTGAAATAATAAGGAGTGGCTGCAAACGGTGGTAAATACAGTAAGTTATTTAAGTTCCTCTGGCCTTTTAATTCCTGTATTGACGAATGCGCTCACTTTTTGTTGTCTTTACCTATTATAAATCATTTCTTAAATTGTTAAAATATCCTCAAAATAACCGTTGTTTCAAAAATAACCATTCAAGACAAATCAATAAGCATGCTTACAGTTGTATTGCATTGCATGTTGCATGATTTCTTTTTACGTCTATTTGTTTATTTGTTTTTCAAGAGAATTAATTACTGTTTCACTTCAATAGAACAAATTGTTAAATATGGAAGTTTCTTTTTTCCAAAAAAGACATTGAAAATTACATCTATATTACATAGGCTTTGTAATTGTATACCTTCCATACGATGCTTCCGTAAAAGAGAAACAATGGCAATTATTGTCGTTTCATTTAATGTCACATTATTTGTAATGATCTCCAGTTCTAGTTTCCGGTACTGACAATTTCTCTACTATAAACGTTATGACGAAACAAAGCAAGCAAAAACTTTTCTTTCATATCAAATGAAATACCAAATAATCAAAAAGAATGGGCACAATTAGCACAATTCTTTAATTAGGGTGATTAGTTGCTTTTTCTTCTATTTGCCATAAGAGTTTTATCTAGCTATCTAAGATTAGTACTTTGTATTATCAACGATTTTGGTGATAATTTACTTTGTATTATCAACGATTTTGGTGATAATTTTTTTATTACGGTAAATTGTTTTAATAAATTTAACTTATTCTTGAAAACGTTTAATTCCTCTCGTTAAATGATAATATATTTCTGTCTTAATTTTATATTATTTATATTATTTGCCTGACTTTCTTGTTTTTCGAGCTTCCTAATTTTAGTATTTTAAATTATATTTCTTTTTACCGCGAATATTTGATGTTAAATTGGCTGAGATTTATTTTTTATAAAGATATTTGGTTTTTGTAAATTAATTAAGATGTAAGATCTATCCCTTTTATAAGGGCAATTTGTTTTCATTATTTGGTTTTTTTTTTATTCTTTATTTTATCTATGGCAATAAAGCTATTATTTGTTTATCTCTAGTTTTATTGCTTATAATTTGTTTTCATTTATTTTGGTTATTTACTATGAATATTTTTTGTGGAATGACTTTTAAGAATGTATTTAAGTAAATTATTATTAATATTGTTAGCTATTAATATTTATTATCTATGTATATTATATTATTTTTATTTACAAAAGAATAATCATCGATATTATTTTTTATTATTATATATATAATAATATGTATATTATATTATTTTGAAATATTGAGCCAATCTAAGATAAATCCGTTTTATCGATGATTACTCTTTTGACTTTTCCAGCTTTTGTAGGTTGCTTTTTGGTAGCGGTCAATTTATAACCCTATATTACACCAATTTTGATGTTTTATTTTTATAGTTATAACTACTTTTGATATTGAATTTTGCTTATTATATTGGATGCCTCGAGATAGCTTTTCCTCGTGCTAATGATCTGATCATTTACATTCAGTCTTTTTTCATTGGTGGTGCATTTGGATGTATTTCAACTTCCTTCTTATCCACTTTTAATTATCAATGATCAACCTGAATTGTCTTTAGATGTTATAATCTTAAGCTTACACACTGCAGGTAGGATTCTTTCCCTTTTTTTTTTGTTTTATAATTACTATTGCATCTATTGCTATGAATTTGGATTAGTCCAATATGTTTGTTTATTTTCTGTTCCTATTTTTGGCAAGTCATTTCTATTTTTGTTGCTTGATCAATTTTAATACTTCTTTCTATGATATTAAAAAAGGATTTACTACCTTTTGGTACCATAGAAAAAAACGAACAAAATAAACACTTTGCTTCATCACTATTTGTTTTGATTTTTTAGAAAACTATGTCATTCGGAAATGTATGTTATTCATTTGCATGTTTGCAGTGTTATTAATGAAGTTTTGTTTTTAATTGATAAGAATTGTTTATTTAGCTATGATTTTTGCTTTTAGTTGAATTTCAACAATTTGAGGTCATCATGTATATTTGGTGAGCTTGTATGATGTTGATATTTGTACTTAATTTATTGCTGCAACTATAATTATTATTATTGCTACAATTATAATTATTCTTAGGATTGCTAAGATGTTTGATTAACTAGGCATTTTTTTTTTACTCTTATCTTATCAGAAAGTTCAGTCTTTGTTGTATTGAATTTATAGTTTTATTTTTCTTTTTGCTGTAGACAGTTTGAATGGAATTACTTTGTCTGTAAAAAATTTAGTTTCGAATTTTTATTATTATATTTTATGCTCTCTATCTGTCTCACTATTCTGATTTATTTTCATTATACTTTAAGTCAAAATATCGTTTATCGTACTTTTACGGATTTTATTTATAACTGCTGCACATTTATTTAGCCATCCATAAAACAAGTATATTAATGACTTAAATACTTTCGATACGAACTTGAACAGGTTAACAATCCGTTAAATGACGTACCAATTATCGCCATAATGGCAAAGCTATAACGTAGTGAACAAAGACTATCAAGTGATTTTAATCTAATTTGTAACCTTAGCATCCATAAAATCCCTCCCAATTTTCTCCCTTACAAAGCCACTCATTATAGTTCTTTGTTTGGTGTGGCTCGGTTGCGAGGTGTCTAGCTTGCTTATATCTTTAAATGTTTTATAATTAAGTTACATTTATGTGTTATGTATCAGTTCATTATTGTAATGTTGTATAATTTTAATGCTAATCTTTTATTATTTTATTCAGTAAGATACTTGAAGGTAGGGCAGAACATTAAGATTAAAATATCCCAAATCCCTTCATAAAAGAAACTTCCTTTGTCATTATAGATATCGAATTATGGCAAAGTTCATTCCTTCTGTAACACTGATGACTACCTACTGATGTGATGTGTTCCATTATCTTTCATATTTTTAATATTTAATAAAAGTAGCAACAAGCATCAATTTGGCTGCTAAAAGGAATTAAAATAGAAAGGTAGAATTGAAAGTTTGCATCATCACAGCTTGTTTTGCTTGCTTTATAAGCATTTACGAGCATTGCCAACTTTCTTGAGGCGCACAATACGAATATTCCAACTTGCCACTGTTCTTTCTTTCGATAACGCATGAATGCAATTTATCATCACAGAAGCAACCTTTGTCTCTAAATAATATACACTTTTCAGTATGTTTGCATTTACTGACGCGCAAACACCGGTAATTCGTTTAGAATTACATAGAAAAATACTCTTACGTCCACGACTGATTCTCGTCCAATCTGCACCAAGCTTGCGGTTCACGCTGGTCGTAGCACGCTTCGTGAGAAGTGCATTCTTTCTTTCTGCAAACATTTCAGATTGGTGAAACAAAATTCAACCTCTGTCTTTCTCATTACTTTTAAACTTTACTTACAGCACACAATTTACAAGTGTAGCAATATGTGACAAAGGAATTCATTTGGAAGTGATTTGGAAAAATATTATTCTAAAACATTTTATCCAATAAAGAAAGCCTTTTCAAGGAAATAATATGGAAATGTTGAGTGAGGATATTAACAGACAGAGAAGATTTTCAGAAGATTTAAATTATTAAAAGTGATCTCACTTATCAGCTTATTATCTCTCACTTATCAGCTCACTTTTCGTATACAATTACCAACTGATTTTACAATTAATTTCATCTCTGAATTGTTTTATAAATTTTGGAAAGTAAGCTTGTAAAATTTACGTCGTCGAATTCGTCATCTGATTGTGACATACATGGCAGTGTCACAGTAAGAATAATTAAGCCAAATGCTATTAGCAATTTGTTCATTTTTTCCTTCTGGAAAACAATCAAACATTAATCCCATTAAACAGTAAATTAGTGTAAGTCAAAAAAAGAATTATTTCTTTTTCTATCACTCAAATTGTCCATTCATTAATTTCGCAAACTAAGTTAAATTCACAGTTGCATATTTAATCTCTACAAATTTGTTTCTAAGATTATTATTCTCTATCTATCCAAAAGTCACATTTCTTAAATTTGAGCAAAACATTCCCAAATCCGTACGCTATGCACGAGAAGTAACAGGATGAAGCGATCAGAATTCAGAAGATGAAAGGATCAGAAAGTGATCACAGTTCATACAGAAAAGACTGATCTCTTTTATATATATGAGAAATAAGTGTACAATTGAACAGATGCGCCTTCTTTGTTTGTGTTCTTTGGAAAACCGAACTATTTCAATTTTAATTTCATTTATAGAAGTGCATCAAAACACTGACCTTCTTCATACTTTAGCTGCTTACCAAATTGACTTCTGAATTGGATGACAGCTGAATCACTCAATTATTTTATTTCATTCAGATATCAGAAAATTAGCATAGCTGCTGCTTCTAGTAAATGACGGCTATTAGATCATTTTGTAAATGCCTTATTATTTTATTATTTATTTTTTTTTCCAATATTTTTTGCTTCAAAATAATATTTTACGTAAATTGTAAAAATTTCTCATTTGGAAATCTGTTCACTTCACAATATCGACTTTTTCATGCTTCTTCTGCTTTTCGTACAGTATGTCGCAGGTACCAATCAGAAATTCTATTCCATCATCAAAATGAGATACTTTCCGGATAATACCTTAGATCAAAATCAGCTATTCTTCCGTAAATCACTAAATGCTTTGTTGGCTTCTGTCTGCTGTATATTCGTTTTGTTTGGACTTTAAATTATTAACATTGCTGTGGGAATAAGCATTTTATATCTTGAAATATTTCATTTTTCATTTCACTGAAATAAAAACAAATTTAATAATTTCACTCATTCGTTTTGTTTATCCTTCTCTCTGTCTGCTTGTCATCATCCGTTGGCTTTCCGTTAGTTCCTTTATGTTTAGCCGTACCTTTTCGACGAATTTGGGTTATTTCTTTTTCCGATTGTTTAGTATACGATTATTTCCGTTCCATCATTCAACTATATCATTTTCTACCACCATTTCTACCATTTGCCTACTACTTGCCACCACCTATTACACCGTTACTGTTTGCAGCCACTTCCTATCACTTATCTGAAAAAACCGAATTATCTTATTTGAACATTCCTTAGACAAATAAATGCTCCAATGCTACTTTTATCCAACATTCATTTTCCATGCAGACAACTTTATTTGCATTGTTTGTGAACAAAGAATATTGTTGGTATTTGCCTTCAATTTAATAAATCACAATTATCAGCTCCTTATTTAGTGTACCTCCTTTATTGTTTGTCAGTTTCTTACTTATTCGTTTATCTGACCCTCTCTGCAATACTGTAAACCATATGTTTTGCTATGATTAAATGTTTAATGTAAAAGGAGTTATACCTTTTATTGAAGTTAGAAAATCTGGCATTTACTCTCTCCTACTACTGTTACTGCTACTATTCCTTTAAATTATCTACTAACTACGATCAGCGATAAACTATTCCATTTGCTGCTTGCTACCGTTTGTGGAGAATCTACACTGATTTCAGAAGTTTTAGCACAATCGATTCTCGAGAAGGGTTAATGGTCAGTTTCTGATCTGAGAGTAATTCGTTGATAGTGAAATTACATAGGAATATTACAATATCTTTACTAACAAATTTAATAGTTTAATAAACAGAGGAAGCAGAATCAGCTTTTCGGAGAATGATCAATGGCCATTTTTACATAACAATAGTTTACAGTATTTTCATATGTCTTATCAGACATAAAGATAGATATGTAAACAGAAAACTAAGTTAAAGGATCCCTGATGCGATTGACTAAAAGACAGGAATGTCGGATTCCAGTATTTTAATCTTGGACCTAACTAAAAGAAAACAAAGATAGGAACATAGCTAGAAATTTGGCTGAGAAATGAGAAATTGGTTGAATGATTCATCGTAATACATTTGAACGGTTAATTTTACATGAATTCAATTTATTAATCTGTTAAGATACAGTAAAGCAAAATATCAACCATTTGAAAGTTTCTTTTATGGAATTTCTTGATTACAAAAAAAAAAAAAAAGAGAAAAGTGTCTTTAAAGGCATATTGTAAGAACATAAAATTAAATGAACTAAACACTTTCAGAAGATCAAATTTGGCTATGTGCGCATAATCCATAGATTTCTGGGATATTGTTAATATCAAACTTGGCCATCTTCAAATGAGCCTATAGATATGAAATTGTTTCTAGGAGAAACTGTTAGTTTTTGTTATAAACTGAATACTTTCGATGTTCCAACAACTGTAGACGCATCAAACAAATTAATCTGTGCTTTTATATTTTGAGAATCCGGATGAAACACTGTATCTAAGTTATCGAATTCCGGGTGAAAGACTGGATAACTAACCGATTTACGGATGAAGGATTGGATAAGTTATCGAATTACGGGTGAAAGACTGGATAAGTAACCGATTTACGGATGAAGGATTGGATAAGTTATCGAATTACGGATGAAAGACTGGATAAGTAACCGATTTACGGATGATGGATTGGATAAGTTACCGAATTACGGCAACTGCATCAAAAAATCATCCCTTTTAATTAGAGAAATGACAAAATTATGGATGGAACGTTAGGTGGACTGAGGGGGCGCCAATGGTGTAGCGGTATCATGGCACCCTCCCATGGTGCAGACCCGGGTTCGACTCCCGGTTGGCGCAGATGGTTTGCTTCTTACTTGGATCGTTTGCTCATTTAGCAAATTTGTCCCTCGTGCTTAACGTTGAGTTTTCATATCGTATTGTCCGAATTGCTTTACAATGAGGCTTTACCATCATTAATTGACTTCACGAACGCGCACTTTTGAGAGCTCTCCCAGTGTTTGATGCATGTTTGCAACTCTACCAAGGTTTGCTGCAAGCGGCGATAGTAACGGAAGGTCATATTAGTGGTGTTGGCGGAGCATATCCGTTTTTAATACGTTCGTTGTCTTTTCACCGTGCGTTAAAGACGTAGCAACGCTCTCAGTAGTATGTCTCCACGTCTCTTAATTTGAGGTCAATATCCGAAATCGATGTATCCTAAGCAAAAAGACTGTTTCTAAGAGTTCTTGTACCTTTTTTTGGAGGCACATTTCAGTAGTTGAATTCATCATAAAGCAAAATCTTCAGGAGACAATAATCATCTATCCTGAACACGTTACCTGCCCAACGTAATTGATCACGTAATTGGTATAGTGCTTTGGAATGATATGGGTCAAGGGGTAACAGGTGATGACGATAAATGGTCTAAGGCCCGTACAGAAGATAGTATGATGGTTTTGCAGACATTGATCTTTGTGTTTTCAGACCCTTACCGTCCCATACTTTTTTATAAAATTTCCGAATGTTCTGCTAGCATACCTTTGTTAGTCTATTATTGATCTTAGCATCCCAGGAAATGATCTCTCCTTAGACAGGTAAATTCTATAGTGACAGAGAACTTTTGTCTCCAGTCCAATGAGCTATTCAGTTGCTGCAAAGCATGAAGTTCCTTTCACAGCTGACAATTGCAATAGTCTTGCATTGCACTTGACAAGAATGCGCATAGACACAGACAGAGGAGAAAGTGAGAGTAGCATGTGGGCCCTTTGTATTGGTTAGTGAGGAACGACATTTGATCTTAAATTACTACATATTCATGTAGTAATTTAAGATCAAATGTCCTAATTATAATTATTCTAAAGTTTCAATATAATATGAGCAGGACTTGAGAGAAAGACAGGGGAAGCGAATCTTACCATCACGTCACGTCACACACACCTACATACATAGTTGACAACGAATTATATTTGAAAAGGAAGGTCAGTAAAAGGTCGATCGGGAAGTAATAGAATCCAATGCTCAATCCTATCATGCTTTCCCACCAAATCCATTAAAATTTCATTTGATGAGACGAAAATATTTTGTTCATTTCATAAGCAAAGTACAATAAAAGTACAAATAGACAGGCAGACAGACAGACGGACAGACACGACAGACACACACACACACATATATATATATATATATGTCCGCTATTTAACGTAGACTTTTGGATTCAATTCAACCTTTTACGTCTATGTTTACGTACGTCTAATATACAATTTGTTGTTGTACATTCTTCGTACAACAACAAATTGTATATTCTTCGCTTATTACTATAAAAAAGAAAGAGAAAAGAAAAAATACATACATATGCACCGTCCGTTAAAAGAGACCAAACAACTAATCGAGTACCTCGCGAACGTCCCGAGAAATCTCGGAGAATTTGGCACTAACGTGTCATTTCATCTTGGTTACTTTTCCTTTCACTTCCTAAATGCGACAAGTTGAAACTTAAAAAGAGTAAATCTCCTCCCATTTCTTTTCTCCCTTTTCCTCTCTCATTTCTGCCGTCTCTCACTGATCTTCTCAATCCTTGCTCTCCCTCTCTCCAGTTAAGTATTACTAATGCATACTATTTGTACGTCTCTTTAATCTTCTTTTTTGTTCACTTTCGTTTTCTTTTTTTCTTTGCATACCAATTTCTCCTATTCACAATTTTATCTCTTTAGTAGCGCATGATGTGTCTAACCCTCTTTCTAAGCATACTCTATTCTCCCATGCAGTTCGAATGCAAATTTCTTTTACTTTTTTCGAAATAGATGGAAGTCATTATCATAAGAATAACGGTTATAACAGCGTTAAGTCAAGTTTAGTTGTGGGGGCGTATGCGTGACTTAGGCGTTACGTGTGGTTTGTTATGGGAGATAGCAGGAATGACGTGAATAGCAGCAACAGCAGCGTATTCAGACGTGATTTATGCATTACAACATCAGATTCCGACTGTTCGCCAGGTGGTATTTTCTACGAAATTCTACGGAAGAATGTTTGGGACCAAATGAAATTATTTAAGCTTTTATTTTATATATTTTTTGTTTTTAAAAGACTGTTATAATTTTGCAAGGAAAAGAGTTTGATATCATTATAAGTTGACACATCTTTTACGTACAGCTGTGGATCATCTTGAAAAAGGTACACAAATTTCGCGTTTTCTTTGAATTTCCTAGTGATTAGTATTAGTTTGCAACTTTTTTGGCGTAGTTGAAATTCTTAATATCTTTGCCTGTTGTTTGTTGCTTAGGATAGCCAAACTGTGTGTTGATGGGAGGTGGAATGGAAAGGTAAAAAATTGTGTAAGCATATATGACAAGTTGTTTTTATGTACTTAACTTCTCCTTAATGTTATGAATAAATGATATAATTTCATGAAACCCAACACAATAGTCTATTGAAATGTGATATAGTAGTTATACTGATGTTTTTGTTTCAGAAAGATTCGATAAGCATGAGTCAGGAGGCACTTCATCTGGTGGATGTGGTAGAAGCAGCTGTTTGAAACGACGTCATTCACGTAATCCACAACGTAATCAGGTATCTACATTCTTTCTTTTCGTAGATCGCTGTATGGAAAAATAATGGAATTTTCTCCTTCGTGACTTTGGATGATTCCAATTAGTCAAATTATGTAATACTCAGTTTATAGCTGGTTTTATTTAAGCTGCGGATTGCTCTTTTACTATTACAACATGGATATAAGCAATCTGTTACCAAATTGATATAAGTAGATACTTGGAACTTCGAAATACTTAGCACACTTTCAGAAATTGTATAATTTTTTAATTCACATTTGATTAAAATGTCCATAAATCAATTTTTTTTAATGGTGTATTTTGGATTCTTCCATCTTTTCTTATCATATAATTTTTTTCAATACGAAAGTAGTTTCAGTAAGAATATATTCATCTACCAATAAGTTGATATAAATCGATTTTTATTGTTTCTTATAGGTTACTTGGTCTTTCTCGAGAATTCGTACATCGAGAGGCTTACTTCTTTCAGGTGCAGGTACTAATTTTTAAATTATTCGGTGATTGTCCATTTTATGCATCGGCCATGTTTATGTTTTAAGTTAATTTGTATGTTTATAAAATTCATGCGACTTACTTGTCACTCCGTATTTGAAAATTCATTTTTTACTAATTCATATTTTCATTTTTCCTTATTATGTGATTTTAATTTTAAGCTGTAAGTTATTTCGATTTCTTTCTTCAAATGTTGTACTAAAAAGTCCATTTACCCTACACTTGACAATCTCTGATAAAAAAATTGGTTAAATGTTGCTTCACCTAATGGTCACTCTATTGTCCTGTATTATCAGAATTCATATTTTCAGTGTGATTTGCTTCCGAAAAAAAAAATCACTGTTTCCTACCATTTTGGTAGTTATTGGTTAATACGAATTCTTTCTTCGAAATTAGGAAGTAAACATTTCTTGAACTCTTAGTGAATCATTTTTTTAATGCTAAAAAGAACATAAGATTAAAACTTAGAACGCAAAACTAGAAATCGAGGAAATCTTTCTTTGTGCTATAAAATAGATGCCTTTTTGCTTATTCACATAAATACGTGAAATAGCATGTAAAGTAAATTATTCCATTGATTCATTGTCAGCAACTAATTATTTCTGTAGACAACATGCAGTTAGTGTAAGAAATGAATAGGTTATATGTTAAGGTTGTATTTTTGATTAATCACTGCAAGAATTCAAGCTATCCTGGAAAGAAACAAGTCCATTTGATCGATAAAAAACTGCTATTAGTGTGAATATTGTGAAATATGCTCATATTTACAAATTATCTGAACTAATTAATAGTTTGATTACAATTGATGACAGTATTTCTTTTTATTTAACTAACATTATTTCACGATCACATTAAAGGTAATACCTTATCTCATTTGTATCAAATAACTTCAATATGTGTGACAGATTATTCATTTTATATCTCACTTTATTTTGGACTTTATCTGTCATATAATATTTGGTATTGAAATGTACGACAAATTAGTATCACAGTTGCACTGTGGTTGATATCATTGATTGCGGACGCGTATGCGACAATGTTCATTTTTGCTTTCGAAGAATGTTGGAGAGAATGTTGGAAGACACATCATGGAGAGAAAGACTGATTCGCATAAAATGGACAGTTGTGGACTGGAAGAGCTGCAAAAAGGGAAAGTAAGAGGAAAGGTCATGTAAGCTTCCCAGAATTATTTGTTTCCGTTAAATGAAAACAGTCATTTTTTGTAGATACCAAGCTAATATCATAGTGAAAAGAAAAGTGCACTAACAGATTTAGGTTATTAATAGGATGTCCAAAAATTGTTTCCTATTTCAGAAATTCCAATATGTGATCAGATATGAAAAAAAAAAAAAATCTGAATCAATTTTAAAAAGATTATTAGAAAAATACTAGAATTGGTTCATGGTCTTTGATTCCATATTTTTATGTTGTAACTTGTGCTACGATTTATGTTGTCATGTGATTATTTCAACGTCTGGCATTAAATTAATGTAATTGTGAATCTCTAAATGAAGCAATAAGCTGGAATGAAAACGGATTTATTGCTATTCTTTCTTTTAAAGTGTTATTATGCATTTTAATTCCGGAATGAGTTGTCATTTTTAATTAACGCTATAAGAAACGGAAGCATCAAATTCTTTAAGCTTTCTTTGGTACTTCGTCAAAATATTCTCCAAATAACTAGAATTTACTATTATTAAATTGATTTTAAACAAGTGTATAGAAGATTTTTAATAATTTTATGCTCCAGTTTGACTTTTCATTACTTATGAAAAAATTTGTTGTGTTTCATGCCATTTTTTGATTTAATTTTAAAAAAACTAGTAGGAATCGAAGAATCCTTCAACTCGTTTAATTGTTGCAAACTGTAATTCTTCTAGGGAAATAGTTTGCTGCAGTATGAAATAAAAAAGGGCGAATAGAGGAGCAGAACTAATGAAAGAGAATTAATTAATCTCATTTATTTGTCGTTAAGGATAAATAATAAAACTACAAACTATAATTCTTTCGTGTTTACATTTCTTTTACTTTCATAAGTGAATTATCATAAGTTAATTATTATACTACTTGTGCAATTATTATGTTCATAACCAATAATTATCTGTCCATTTCTGTTACTGTTACTATATTTGTAGTATTTTCAGAAGGAGCAGATCGTAAGTCGTGTTTGCTTAGTAGCAGTATTGGTTCATCATCGTCTTCCAACACGTCTCCTTCAGACTCGCCGTCACGTGGTTCGGGCGCTGAACGTGTCCATGTTGATCAAAGCACGCAACCGTTACAGCCTGCCCTGAAACAAACTACCATAAAAAAGGTATTTTCTCGAATGGAAAAATGTAATTTATTTCTTTAGTAGAATAAATAATGAGAGGTAGTAGATAGTGCTACAAATTTTGTATTCCTCATATTGCGGCTTATCGTAATGGCAGTGAATGGTATTACATCAATTTTGTTGTATTGAACTTTTTATGTCCTAAAATTTATGCCAAGACTGGAAATTAGATATTACCAGTTTTTTTAATCATTTTTTTTCTTTTGTTTTGTTATATCTTCAAAAAAAAAAAATGTTAAGTTTTAGAATTTATGTCGAAGTCAGCGATCGATGTCTCTTGGAAGTGCTGCCCATGAATCACTTGTGGTAGCTGTAGCTTCATCTTCACAGGGTCCTAAGCATACCGTTGACATGAGTCATGCAGAAAATGGTAATTTTATGCTTAATAGAAATTCATTAAGAGAAAAATTTCCAAATGAAATAATAAGAGTATGGATTTGAAGATTGCCCAATTATGTATAACGTAGTGTTGAATTCAGGCGACAAAGTGGTATTGCTTGTTGAAAATACAAGATTTGTGGTTGATCCGGCTGTGTTGGTTGCTAAACCGGATACTATGCTTGGACGAATGTTTACTGTACGTGCACAACGTCAAGATGGTGTTGAACTTGTGCGACCCAATGATCAAAACGAATATGAAGTAGCTGATGGGCTTTCTGCTTCCTGCTTTCGTGCAATTCTAGTTGGTTTTGTAATGTGATGGATTTCTTTTTTGTGATGGAATGTTGGTCTATATATCAGTTTTTGCTAAATTTTTTTTTCTCTCTCTCTCTTTCTCACTTCCTGTCCTTAGTAATTGAATTAAAAATTTTCAGGAATACTACCACATTGGAAAAATGCGATGTCCACCGTCAGTGTCAGTTTCGGAACTCCGTGAAGCTTGTGATTATTTACTGGTACCATTCAATGCTCGCACCGTGCAGTGCCATAATCTCCGTTCATTTTTACATGAATTAAGCAATGAAGGTGCAAGACAGCAATTTACTGCCTTTCTCGAAGAAACTATTCTGCCACAAATGATTGTTAGTACTGAGGTAAATGTTGTCAATTATAGATGAAATTTGATTAAGAAAATACCACTACATTCAACTTTATGTCCAGGCTGAAGATTTATGTATTTTATAAATGGAAATGATGGCATCAATTTTGAAACGGAAAATAAATGAAGAATAAATCAATCAAATTTTAGTATACATTTCCAAAACTCATCCTTTAAAATTATCACTAATAACACTTAATCTGTGAAATTCTTAGTGCTAACCAAAATTTTAGTGAATTTCATTGTTCAGCATGGAGATCGTGAATGCCACATTGTTGTGCTATTGGATGACGATGTGGTTGACTGGGATGAACTTTATCCTCCACAGATGGGTGAAGATACGACACAAGTTGTTTACAGCACTCATCTTTATCGTTTTTTCAAATATGCCGAAAACCGTGATGTAGCAAAACAAGTAAATTGTTGTGCTGAGTGCTCTTTCAACTTTCTTTTGATAACAGTAGTACTTCATATTGCATAAAACAGAGGTCATTGAAACATAGTTGGTTATGCGTTAATTTGCATATTTTTAGGTTCTAAAGGAACGTGGCCTTAAAAAGATTCGGCTTGGTATGGAAGGATACCCAACCCACAAAGAGAAGATAAAAAGACGTTTTAATAAAGCCGAAGGTATGTTAAATTTTCCTTTATGATGGTGTCTCGAATTTAATGCATAAAATATGGAAGGCAGATTTTTATTATTATCAGTATTGAAATAAAAAATATTTATTGTAAGTTTATTTTCAGTTATTTATAATTACGTCCAACGGCCATTTGTTCATTGTTCATGGGAAAAAGAAGAAGCACGTTCACGTCATGTTGATTTCGCATGTCCTATCGTGAAAAGCAAGTCCAATCCAAGTTTGGCAAGTGCTGCAAGTGATCCTATTCCACAAGTGAGTGAAGAGTTTTTTATTCATCTTACAACTGAGAAAATAAGGTAGTAGTTGATTAAATGGAGTTGAATTCAAGTTGCAAACACTCTTCTTACAATAAGTTTATCTTCTAAATTATATACTTAAGGAATTAAGATACTTTTAATTATAATAATAGGACTAGTCATAATCATTTAAAGGTATCACTGAGATATCTTTCAGTTAAATTATATCGAAACGCTCCACTATTCAGAGTGATAGATTGGCTTAGCTTTTTTTGAAGCGTAAAATATACTGTGCTTTTTTCAATATCTCAGTGATTTCAAAAGCAGTCTATGAGATTTCTTCTTTAGCCAGCACCTTTGCAACTGAGTGTAGCAACTATTGCATCTGGCACTGGAAATGGGCCATTTAATTTGCCAATTGTGCAGCATCCAATATTTTGTGGTACTAGTGTTACACATTTTGCACATCGTTTAACTGGCCAGGTTTGTTGGCCAGTTTTTTTCAAGTAGTTTAAAGGAAAATATTTTCCTACTTTCATTCGCGCACACAGCGTATTTATTCATCTTTTATTATTCAAGAAGGGTAGGAACAAAAAGGGAAACATTGTATTTGGCTGTACTGCAACTTGTAGCAATGTATATTGAAATATATAAGTGGCACATATTTTATTTTATAGTATATATGCAAGTACAAAGCCATATTTTATTTATCATTAAGTTGAAACTTGTTGATGCTGTTTGTTTGCATTATTAATTCTTGATTATTACTTGCAGAATTTACATCCTCTTCACTCACCACCAGTGCAAAATGTTAGGTCAACTTCAGCGACAATGGGGACGGAAAGTTCTCAAACTTCTTCATCAAGTGGTTCAAATCATACTATGACAAGCTGATGAAAAACGTTATTACGAGCATTTTTTCTTCCTTATTCCTATTATTTATTGTATCTAATGCTTTCCGATGCTTTGTTTACAGCTACCTAAATAACTAGTGATGATGCTGAATGATGCTAGATATTATTAACTGCAGATAGGAGAATAGGTAAATTAAAATATATGAAACTAAGATGGCTTTTTTCTGATCGGTTTATTCGTTAGTCTGTATGCTGAATATTCTGCTCTTTGAAATTTAATGCGGGTGCTTAGGTTGTAGCATCCTTTATCATGCAATAATGCATACCGTTAGTCGATAGTTATGAAATATGTTATGATCTTAATTACAGCTCCTTGAAGTTTTGGTTTTTCCTAATTGTTTTTGATCCTATAAACTTGCGAATCGAATTGATTTTATCGAGTAAAGCTGTCTAAAGAAAATGAGAAAATGAGGGAATTAAATGGATATCTTTTGTGTATTGCAGCTAATCTTAGGTACAATTTGTTATTTACAAATACAGCTTATAAATTGTCAGTTTTGATGTGTTGCGGTTTTAATATTATTTGATCGATCAAACTTTGTAGATTTCATTTCTGTTTTCACTCTGTTTGTGAATCACACAGCTTTCTTTAAAATTTTCAGTTGAGCTGCTTTAATTTGGTAAAGCTTGCATATTAGTACAGCATTTCTGTAACTTTCTACAGCATAATATCTGTTCACATTCTAATTTTCCCGAAAAAAGTCACAATATTTTTGTCCGTATTCAATCTTTCCTTTTTTTTTCAGCAACAAAATAGATGCTAGGAATGAAATAGTGAAGTTGAATTGCTCAGGAGATGAAACTTGAAAAATAGGAGGATGAAAACTGAGAAAACAAATAAAAGCACTGAAAAACGAGTAAAAAAGTTAGAAATTTTATCGTTTTAGTCAAAATATATGGAATTTAAACATCATCTTTCAACCAATTCATTTTATTAACAATTTCAAACTTAAATTCCCTTTACTTACAAGCATTAAATTATTGCCTTATGATGATTCTATGCTTTTTCCTTTCCACATTTATCGTCTTTGCATTCATTCATCTGTATTTTATAATTTAAGCATATGCTTGATTCGTACGACATTTTTGCTATTCATATATATACACACACACATGTGTATTACTTTAAGCTTTTGTTTTTGTTTTTTTTTTCGGTTTTTAAAATCGTTTATTGCTAATCTTTCTTGCTCATTTGTTTTGTAATACAAACAAAACAAACAGTAAAGCGTCTTTTCGTTCTTTTTTACTGTGATTCTATTTGATGTTCGAAAAGATTGCAAAACATTTTATGAATTTTCGGGGAAATAAAATGAACATTTATTACTTTGAGTCCATTAATTATTAAAAAAATTCTCTCAAATCCAATCCGTTAATTATAATAAAATTGATATTTCTAATTGAATTTCCAGATTTAGCTCTTGTAAATAAACTTTTCTTCAGTTTCGTTTATTCCCAAATATTGCTTACTTTCTCTATTGTATGAATGAGAATTACTTTAATGGGATTTTATTTAAACTGCTTTTGTAACAAATGGGTTTCATATCATTCACAGTAGATGCGAAGCAATGATTGTGATGTCACAGATTTGGGTGGTAATTCGGAAATGAAATGAAAATTTGCAACTAACAAATGTATGACTTACTTTTGATTATAAATGTTTTTTTTTTTCTTTCCAAGAAAGAAGTTTTGGAAAAAAAAACAAAAACAAATCCATGTCAGCATTAAGCATTCATTTTAAAAAAATAGACGAAAAATTGAAAAAATTCAATTCTCAATGATTCATTCGTGTATGCGCTCCTTGCATGACACGGATGCGCTTTTCGAGACGTTTTTCCCAGTGACAATCACGATCATATGGCAAATCATCAATAATATAGTGCTCACCATTTGGTAATGGTTGTTTACACGCAGCGCACGTGAAACAACGTGGATGCCAGTGTTTATCAAGTGCAATTAAGCATGAATCGATAAGTATCTCACCACAACCTGCATTAGGAATGTATTTAAATTCTTCCTTGCTTTATTTTTTCTTTTGGAAATTTGAAATTTTTTCATATTTTTTTCACTTAAATTGTTGAATATTTCTTATTAGCCTAGCAATACCAGTTTATTAAATTTAGCCCAGCAACATAAATTTGCCAAATTTAACTTGGCAAATTTAACTTGTTTAATCTAGCAGCAATATCAATTCGAGTGAATTTAACTTGGGAAAAGTCATTTATTGAATTTAACTTAGCTCTAATCGGATGCTAATTTTACAATAATTCCAAGAAATTGAAAAAAGAAAAAGTTGAAAACAAAGAAAAAAAATCTGACATTGCTTCATTTGATTAATTTCATTATTTATAATAATAATGATTTATAATAAACGGAAGAAAAAAAAGAAAAAGGCTGTGCAACTAAAGTTTACAATGATTTTACGAAATTAAAATGAAAATTAGAAAGAAAAAATGAAAGGACGAATCATACAATTAAGAATAATTGCATCAGTTAGCATTAAGTGTTAATTTCTTTTCTTTTTGTTTTATTTTTCATTGTTTATTTATTGGTTAGCAAATAACTGAAAATGGTACTGCGAAAAAACAGGAAAATTTTATTTACAAACCGTGACATTTTGGATTATATTTCTTAGAAAAACATTGTACACAATATGGCATTTCATCTGCAATCTAAAATGCTATCAATTTTATATGCTATTAATTAAATTATAAGAAAATAAACGAACTTGGAATTATTAAATTTGGGATGAATTTGTTTAAGCTTATTGTACTGTAAGTCAGTTTACACATTTGTTATTTCCTACTGAAATAGCGTGAAGTTACTCTGAAATAAAAGTTGTGTTTGCATTAATAGTTGACACTACCAGTTTAAAGTTCAATTATTGATATTCAGCGAAGGGAACGCTTTTGAATTCTAATATTGGGAAAGATTAACAGTTCAATTACTCCATGCAAGGAAAATTGCAAATTATGATACCGGGAATGGTTAACCATTCTAGATAATCTACCCTTCTAGTCATGAAATCTAGGTGAGATTAAGCCATCCTAGGTATGACATTAATTCAGCAGAGATGATTACCTGGTAGGTTTGCTTGATTGGTGCATTACAAGCATGGCAGCGGAAGTGATCGGGGTGCCAGAGGCGATTCATTGCAATCACCGCTTCCTCACCTAACGATGTGTTGCAGAGGGCGCACATTCGACGATCGCTTTCGGGTGGTTGGACATATCCCACACCACGGCTTACTGTAGAATCACCCATTCGGCTTATCCTAGTTTAGCTTCAGAAAAATGAGCTAATAGAAAGAAATAACCGGTCGACTCGACTGAGATTCATTTAACTCTTTCGCTATTTTATGACTGTTTTATACATTTGAAAAGCAAAAAGAAATTTCAGACATGCAAATTTATAATTTATTGTCATTTGCTCGAATATTTATTTATTCATCCAATATTTTAGCCTTTTACTTGAAATTATTACTTAAAAGTTTTTTTCGATGCATTATCACAATTAGAATGCATCCATTCATTTTTATTCACATTCACATCTTTCCTTGCAAATACATTTCATGTAATTCAATTCAACTAATTGATTTCATTTCACCATATCAATCATTTAAAACATGTTGATAAAATGTGAAATTAAAGTTTATTGTGATAAATGCATTGATTCGTACAATTGATAGAGATATATGCTAATTCGTTGTTAAAATTATATTCATTTCTCGTCCTACAAGAAAATCAAAAAAAAAAGATTTTTATAAAGGAACCAAAAAAAAAGGTTTATTAAATTAAAGAATTAAATTAGCCTAAAAAGCAATAATTTCTTGCTTCCTAAATTAAACAGTTAATACGTGTGTAACATTTTCAAACAAATTGGTGTTCATGTAGAACACAGCTAAATAATTGAAATGTAAAATAATTATTATTTACTATTGCAATTGATACTAATTTAAAAAATTTGAGCAATAAATTTCCAATTTTTAAGAGAAAAGAACCATTGCCATATTTCAAAAATAATAAAATGAAAAGTTTTAACTGCAATTTTTACTTTATGTCTTCTTGCATATGCATCGTAATCATCAATAAATTCGAGTAAACGCTGTGACATGTCAACGATATTGAGTTCATGAAAGAATTGAAGTAACAAACGATTAAGCACAATGTATTGCTGTAATTTTCATTCATCTGATAAATCATTTCCAATTACTGCCCAAGCAATTTCAATTGTTATGTAAATTTCGTATTGTTATGTTACTTTCGAATTATTTCCAATTATAAATTATTTCAATTGCTATATAAGTGATTTTAAATTATTACATCATTATTTATGATTAATTATTAAACAATTCATTTCCAATCTTGTCTAAATCATTTCAATTATTTTCTAAATCATTTTGAAATAATTTATTAATCATTTCCAAAAATTTCCCTTGAATTCCAATGTCAAAAAGTATGTAGTATTCTATCATATTATTAAAAAGCTTTTCACTAAATATTCATCAAAAAATTAGCATAGTAAAATTTACTATATTGTTGCTAATAAAATATTTTGCTTGGTTATTTTCAATCAAAATCTTTTAGGCAAAAAAGGAATCAACAAATGAATTTATTCTCTTTTCACAAATCATTCACTGCACATATGTGAAACTTTGAAAATTAAATTTTTAATTTAATTAAAAATTATTATGCTAGCATTAAAAATTATATTAAACCGTAGGAGTGCTTATAGCCATAGCACGTTGATTTCGAATTTCCTTCACCACTTCTATCAGATCAACGCAGCTTCTACCTTGCAGCACTCTCTGCAGTGTGTATTCAATGGCCACAAAAATACAACTTCGGCCAATACCTATTTAATTAGTATTTACTTTCCATAAAGTAAACGTTATCATTTAATTTGTATAAACTGTGATTGATTTATTGCAACAAAAAATACTTTTCTGTGTTTCTTAATTTTAATTGCATTAATTTAATAATT